ATTTCCTCCTTCCTCAAACATTTTAGAAATTAAAAAAATAGACTTACTGACTGAATGTCACCTCCACGTACCTCCCCAGCCTGCCTGTGGCAGTGGCGTCCATGTAGCGTGTGGCCTTGAGGTCAAGGAGCAGAAGGGAGGCATGAGGGGCATGGAGGGAGGGTGGTTAATCATCAGCCACAGATTATTTTTAGACCTTAAGTAATTGAATATTTTCTGTCCCAAATTTTGTCTGAAATAGGAGGGCCACTCACTGAGAACCAGGTTGTCTCTGCTTTCCCTTCTGTACTTGAATGTATTTCTGGGCACTCTGTCCTTGGAGGGGAGGAGATGTCCACCTGCTGCCCTTGCTGCCCGAGGGTGGACACACCTCTTGCCTGTCTGTTGGCCTGTCCTCCTATGGCAGCAGCACTCAGGCTGTAAAGACCCTTTCATCCTGTTTCCCGTGACCTAGTCCCATCATTCCTTTTTCTTTACCGGTTTCAATGGGCTTCCTTCTCCTTGGTCTGTTTCCTCTGTTTGGAGCCACCAGGGCTGAAGACTCACAGGTGACCCGTCAGAACCAGCGTGTAGGTAGATTTTCCCTCCAATAGCCAAGGAAAGGTGGCTTCTGACACAGTCACCTGACTCCACTGCCTGCCACTTGCCTTAGTGACAGAAGGTAGGATCCATCTGTTTGCCCCCCCGTGACTGGATCTCTCTCTCTCTCTCTCTCTCTCTCTCTCACACACACACACACACACACACACACACACACACACACACACACTCTTAGCAGGTGGGAAATTTATTTTTTAGGATACACATAAAGCTGCCATTATAGGGAGGATTCTGGTGCTAATTTAGATGCAAATGGAATCGCCCAACTAGAGCTGATTACAGAAAGGTCAGGATGTCTGTATGCTCAATTTCACTCCTACACATTAAGTTAATGCAGTGCTGTAGTTGTGGGCATGATGGCTGGTCTTGGTTCTGGCCTTAATTTTTTTTACACAGAGTTTTGACACATGGTGTCACCTCTTCCACCCACCTCCTTTAAAAAAGAAAACAAAATTTCCATTTCTGAAAAGCTTGAAATTCTAATAAAAAACAAAAATGCATTTTTGGAGCACTTAGACCTTGATAGAAAGGAATAGGCTGACTGGAAGACTCAGTTGCTGTCTCATTCAGAAAGCAGATCTCAGCCACATGTGCACCACTTCCAGGACTGACCATGCTGCATCACACGATGGCGGGCGGCAGTAAGGTGGTGCCGGTGGTTGTTACTGACTGTTTCTCACAGGCAGAATTGTGTTTTGTACATTTGCATGCATATATATATATATATATATATATATTTACGTGTGCGTGTGTGTGTACTGGATATGTGAGCAAAGCACATATGCAGTGTGATACATTGCATTGTATATATTTCCAATGAAGTAATGTACGTATGTCAGAGTTTCACAAAATGGTACTTACCCTCACTACATGCACTGTAGGCTAACATTTTCTATTTGTATCTAGCTAAACTGCTAGTGAACCAGTAAATTGAATTTACTCACCCCCTCTTGGGTCTCAAACTGTACTTTCAAAAACACCAACTTAACAGGGTTGGCAGAGACACTGGACATAAAGAGGGCTCCAGGCACAAGCTAGAGGAGGGTGGAAAAGATGGCAAAGAAAGAATTATTTCAAAGGATGGACTACATTGCGCTCGACAGTAATGCAATTGAGTGCCCTCATCAGAGCTCTGTGCTGGGACTTGGACTGAAAAGTAAGCATATAGGACTCCCCAAGCAGATGTATTCTTTAGGTTATAGTTTCCTTATCTAGTCAAGCATAATTATTTGTTTGTGGAAACTTTTTTCTTTAGGTTATTTCAGTCATTGTAGTCTACGTTTAGTATGAAATAACATTTTTAAGCTTTCATATCCTTAAGCTTTATTACTATATATGATAAGGTACGACCTTCATTGGCTATTGCTATGTGAGTTTGTAACTACCTGCAGTTTTTTTTTAATAGAATAAAGTAAATAAATACTGGTAAACATGTGTAAGGCGAAAAGTCTTCCTTACACTGAGAGATGATTGTCCTTCATCATTGGATTATGATGAGTTTGCTGCTTTCCTGCCTCACAAATGCTGCTCTGGGGCATTGGCGGAAGATTCCATTTTACATTCTGCATAGCAGAATGTCTTTCCTCTGGTGGTTTATCGTTCGCTCTCAAGTGATCACACTCAGGCTCTGGTCTCATCCTCGTTAAGAAGTTTGCCTGTTTTGGGGGATTAGAAGTTTCTGACAGTAAGATAATGGGGCAGGAAAAGATTTTCTGGGATAAAAGGCTTCCAAAAGCTCTGAAGATGTGTTAGGGAAAAGACAGGGAAAGAGAAGGGGACCAGATTTTCCTGGTTGAAGTGTTAGTTTAAGGTGAGTATGACCTCAATTTATAGGGTTTGCAACTTGATAAGTAATGGAATTGGGTTTTTAATATTTATAGCATGTTATGTAAATGCTGCCCCTTTGAGTGCTTTCTTAAATCCTCTTAGCTTATTAATGACAACTTTGATTTGTAAAAAGAATTTCATTTATCCAGCCTAATAGTAGTAAACAATGGATGCTTAATGCTCTCCTTTCATCTTGGACCCCAAAGACTGAGACTTATAAGGAGTTTATTGCTGGGCTTTTGAGCTTATTAAGGTCATGTGTGACTCCAGGGGGAAAAGCTCATGCTACATTATTGGTCCAAAGGCAGCTTTTGGGTTCTGCATGGCATGGCGATCAATCCAGCAGTGCTTGGTGGTTAAGTTGAAATTTTGGCATTAAAGAAACTGCACACATGACCCATTTGGAATGATTACACTGTGGTACTTTTTTCTAGTGATCAAGATTGTTAGGAAATTAGACTTCTGCCTAAGTCATTTTGGATTAAGTTTCTACTCCACCACCCCAAGATTGTAGTAGTTGAGTGATATGAACTAATGGAGCTACATGTTTGGAGTAGTTTCGAGTCATTTCCCTCTTTGCCAAACTTAATGACATCAGTTTTTTAGAGGTCTTCATAGAAAAGTCCTTCAAACTGGGGGTGCAGCTCAATGGCATAGTGCTTACCTATAATGTGTGAACCCCTGAGTTTGATCCTCAGCTTTGCAAAAAGAAAAATAATTCCCTTTGTAGGCCTCCAGAGCACATGTAGAGCATAAGGAAGAATTCAGAACTGAGCTCAACTTCTTTGCAGGCTTTCATTCACTCACGAAGGTACATTCTGTGTGCGAGGCTTTGTACACTGTACTGGGGTAATTAAGAAAAAGACACAGCGAGTGTCCCGGGACAGAATTAGAAGTGCCATGTGCACCAGTGGAGAAAGCAGGAAAGGATAGAAAGATAGGAGCAGTTTGTTTCAGAAGCAGGGGAGCCCAGGGGAAGCACTCTTCTCAGTGTAATTTATTTGCCTACTGGTTGATGCTGGCTTGTTTCCATTGCTGTGTTTGGGCTGAGGAGAGCCTGTTAAAGGTGGTCAGTTGGGAGTGTGCTGTGCTGAATACTGGGAGGGCTCCCATAGCTGACACCAAGCTGGGGGAGGGCGTCCAGGCCACTCAAAACTGTGTTTTAGTAGATTCTCAAACAACAAATTCAAATGGACATTATAAGCATCCCTTGTAATGGGGTGGGGTAAACAGACAGCTGACCTGGGCTCATTCTATCCAGGGCACAGGTGAGCACCAAGCACTTCTAAGCAGCCGAAATAGATACTGCCTAGCCTTATGCACAGATGCAGCCACTTTGGGCCCATCTGTACACATCTAGCAGATCTGGACATCTGGTTTCTAACCTGACCTGCGGAGTTTGAAAGGTGGAAATGAGAAGCAGAAGAGGAATGTAGTATGAAAGGAGTGGCATGGTAATGATATGATAAAGTGACAGCTAACACTTCTAAAGGGAAGAAGAAAGGAAGACCAGAAGAAAAGAGATATAATCTCTCAAAAAGTATCACTCTCTGTTTTGTTTAGAATCAAGTGAATTTGACTTGATTGGGAGGGAGATTTCTAAGATTTCTAAGGTGTGGTGTTGGAATCTGAGAGCTTGAGCTATTTCTTTGGTGATTTTCTTGCATTCAAGGATTGGTGTCTCTCTGCCCCTGTAGGATATTGACCATTGTGGTGACCTCTAGTCCTCAACACATGTTATATTCTGCTTTTAGGAGAATAAGGAAATGTATATTAGCTCTTAAAATACTCGCAAAACGTTTAAGGTTCAAATTTTCTTTAAGCATCAGACCCTTAGCTTTTGAAAAACTTGACTCTGGCAGTGATTCTTATTTGCTGAAGGTTTGACATTTTACTGCATGGGGAAAATCACATAGGTAGAAAATATTTGTATTATAAAAAAGTCACAATTACTTTATTAAACAGAAAGCTCTTATAGCACTTTATAAATAACAGTTTATATTATTCAGCTAAAAGAAATTGACCTGCAACTCCCCAGAGACACATCTGAACATCTGTAGCATTTCATGTTTGTACCTGTCCTTTGCGGTTTATTATATTATCATTTTGTTTTTGTATCCCATCTTCCTAGATGTAAAATATGTTCTGTGTTTTTGGTTTCTTGTATATAGCAGATCCAAATAAATGTTTATTGAATGACTCATAATGAAACAAGTTATATCGAGCTTTCTAATTAATCCTTTACGAACCATGTAAATAGTTTTCATAATCTTTTTCCTCCCATTTTTGATTACACACTAAAATCTTTATGGTATTTGAAGTGCATCTGATGATTAGAGTTGTTAGAACCCTTGAGTTGCTTCTTTGGGCCTTTGGCTTTCTCTTACTGAATTAAAGGGAGGAAGCGGCACGAGGCGCTGTGGAATGTGAATGGTGCAGATGGAGCCCTGAAGTGTGTTTCACGTCAGGCATGTCCGTGATGGGGTCCCCGCAGTGAGGCTGAGGTGTTAGGAGTGCGCAGTACCGGTAACACAGAGAGGATGCTCACCTGTGCGCTCTGTCCTTGGCCCCAGGTGACTGTCGAGGAGGTTATGACCACCACTGCATACCTGGACCTTTTCCTGCGCAGTATCTCGGAGCCAGCGCTGCTTGAGATCTTCCTCCGTTTTATCCTGCTGCACCAGCATGAGAATGTTCACATTCTAGACACTCTCACGAGCCGAATCAACACCCCTTTTCGGGTAAGGAAGAAGGGAACTTAGAACTCAGATTCCGGAAGAGTTTGTTTTGGGAGTGAAATTGTGAATATGCTTTCGCCCTACCACCTTTTCTTACAGCAGCCATTACTTTCTATTTGGGTAGAGATGACCTGAACGCTTTTGTTTCCCTACCACAAGTCAGAGAGGTGGCACTTACTGCCTTTCATAGGACACCTGTTCCCTCAGTTTTTCTGTGAAGGCACTTTCTTCCGTAGAACTAGCAGAATGCCATTCTAAAGGGCAAGATTTTAGAGAACATAGAGGCTTAAGTGCAGGAAGAGTCAAGAAACCAGAATGTATCAAATCTGGGTATCAGAGATTGTATTTCTATCCCTGGATGTTTGAAATGAAAGTCTGGAAAGTTGTGAAGTCTGGATCATTCTTAAGTTTGGAGCTCTGCTTAACTGAAAGTTCTCTCATTACTATACTTGTTTCACTCATCATAACCCCTCTAAAAGGCCATTTAATTGTGATTGTTTTAAAAGCAAAAGAATAACTTAGCAATGTATCTTTGATTTTGTAACATATATAGATGTAATATGTTTAACAAATACTATAAAGAGGGGGGAGAGGGAATAGAGGTAATATATAGGAGTAATATTTTTATATTTCGCTGAAACTAATTTAGTATAAATCTGAAGTAGAATCTGTAAGTTAAAATAGTATATGGGATGAGATAGAGAAGCCACTAAAAAAATAAGAAAAGTGAAAAAGAAATTAAAGTGTTATACTAGAGAAAATATTCACTACACCTTCCACCTAATGTGAACAGAATAAACACTCTTCTCAAGTGATGTGGAACATTCTCTAAGACAGACCACTTACTGGGCCATACAACAAGCCTTACTGAATTTAAAAGGATTTCACTAATGCAGAGTATGTCCTCTTATCACATGGATTGAATTTTAAAATTGTTGACAGAAATTTGGGAAATCCACAATCACATAGAAATTAACACATTTCTAAATAATTTTACATAGGTCAAAGAAATCACAAGGGAAAAAAATGTACTTTGTGATGCTGCAACATGGATAAGCCTTGAGGATATTCTAATAATTGAAATAGGCCAATCACAAAAAGACAAACTGAATAATTCCACTCATCTGAGGCATCTAAAGTAGTCAAACATAGAGAAATGGGAAGTAGAATGGTGGTTGCCAGGGGTTGAGTGATAGAGGAAGTGAGGCATCGTTATTCAGTAATTTGTTTGTTTGCTTTTGGGTACTAGGGATCGAACTTAGGACCTCGCCCGGCCCCATTCAGACTTTCAGCTTTGATGTAAATATTTTAGAACTCTGTTGCATAGGAATATGCATATATTTACCACTACTGAATTACACACGTGATTAAAATTGTACATTAATAATCAGCAAGGTGTTAAAATTCCATGTTATAGGTTTTTTACTATAATTTAAAAAAATAACATAAATTCTTCAAAAAATAGAATAGTAGGGATTATATCCCAACTCATTCTATGAGGCCAGTGTTATCTGATTCTAAAATGAGACAGATAATCACAAGAAAACTGCAGGCTAATATCTGTTATGAACATCGGTAGAGATCCCTGTAGTCAGGTTCCAGTCCCCACCTGGCCAGTGTGCGATGCAGGCCTGAGAAAAAGAACACACTAAGAGACAGAGCTAAGAGAGAGAAAGCGGGGGCCAGGACGACCAATGCCGGTGCAACTAACAAAGGCCCTGGCCAGTCCCAGGCACTGACTTTTACTGGCAATCAACTGGGGTAAAGGCAACGAGTGGTTTCTATGGAAATTAATGGAAACAAGGCTCATAAAGGACAAGACAAAGCATTCTCGAATTAGGAATAGAAAAGACAAAATATATGGTTGTAATTGGAACATTGTCCTTCTAGTGTGAAGGTTTTAGTTGTGGGAATGGAATTTGGGTGTGAGTTACTCCGACCTCAGCACGTAGGCTTCAGCCACTATAGACTCACTTCTATAAACAAGCCAATTGTGGGGTTAACTCTTCACAGCCTGCTTTGGGCATAATACTACAGTCCTCTGCAGAACATAAACACAGCTATCTTCAGTAAACCCTCAGCACACAGAATCAACAATATATAAAAAGATTATATACTCTGATCAAGTGGAATTTATCAAACCACCACTGAAAAACTGGTTTAAAATATGAATAATAAATTAATGTAACTCATATCAAAAAGCTAATGAGCTCAATAGACAGAAAAAGCTTGACAACATTCAGCATGATGAACATACTTAACTAGAAATGGAAAGGAACTTCCTCAGTCTGATACAGGGCAACAATGAAAAACTCAAGAGTACTGTCTTACTGAATTGGAAAAAAACCTTTCCCTAAGAAAAAGAATAAGATAAGAACATCTACTCTTAGGAATTGTATTCAAACAGTACTTGACTTGTATTCAAACAGTACTCCAGGCAGGGAAATCAAACAAGAAAAGAAAAGAAAAACCCTCTAGATTAGAAGTAAAATCACCCGTCTTTGAAGGCAATGTGATCTTGTGTGTAAAAAAACTGAAGGATTCACTAAAAATCCATTAGACCTTCTAATGAGTTTAGCAAGATTGCACGATGCAAGATTAACGTACAAACATTAATTTTATTTCTGTGCAATAGCAATTGAAAAATCAAATTTTAAAAATCCTATTTAAAAAATCCTGTTTATAATACAGTAGCATCAAAATGAATAAAATGCTTAGGAATAAATTCAGTAAAAGAAGTATAGAACTCATTCTGTGAAAACTACAAAAATTGTTAAAAGAAATTAAAGAAGACCTAAGTAAATGGAAAAACAACCTATGTTCATAGGCTGGAAGACTTGATATTGTTAACACAGGAATACTTCCCAAATTGATGTGCATATTTAATTCATTCCCTATAAAACTTCCAGCTCACTTGTTCATTGAAATTAATAAGGTGATTCTAAAATTCCTATGGAAATGCAAAGGACTCAGCCAAAACAAACTTGAAGAACAAAGAGAATTCATACTTCCTAATTTCAAAGCTTACTTTAAAACTGTGTTAATCAAAATAGTGTGCTATTAGTATAAGAACAGATAAGCAGAACAATGGAATAGAATTGAGAGTCCAGAAATAAGCCCGCATATTCATGGTCATTGGTTTTCCAACAAGGCTTTCAGGGCCATTCATTGGGGAAGGAATAGTCTTTTCCACAAATGGTGCTGGGGCAACTGGAGATGCACTTGAAAAAGAATGAGGTTGAACTTTTATCTTACACCGGATGTAAACATTCAGTCAAAATGGATCAGAGACCTATAGAACTAAAACTGTAAAACTCTTTAAAAACATAGAAGTATATCCGTTTGGCCTTGGCAGTGGTTCCTTAGCTATGACACCAGAATCATGAGCAACAAAAGAAAAAAATAGATAAATTGAACACTGTCAAAATGGAAAATGTTGGGGCTGGGTATTTAGCTCAGTGGTTTCGCTGCCTGCTGCGCAAGCACAAGGACCTGAGTTCGATCCCTGGTACCAAAAAAAAAAAAAAAAGGAAAATGTTTTTGCTTCAGTGAATACCATGAAGACATTAAAAAGACAACACAAAATGGTAGGAAATCTTTGTAAATGATATATCTAATAAAGTACTTGTACATAGAATAAAGAAAATGCAACAACAACAACAAGGAAAAATACACCCTGCTGAGCAACTTTGACAATGATTTGTAGGACTTACTGTGGCAGTAGATAAGAAGGATACCTGAGACTGGGGAAGGGAAAGTTGAGTGGTAGTACTGTGAAGAAGACAAGAGAGATTTCTGGGGGGAGGTGATGCCTAAGCTGAGGCTTTGAGAGTAAGTAGGGGTTTACCTGTGCAGAGGGCAGGGAAAGGCACGCCAGGTAAACAAACAGCATGTGCAATGACTTGCTTCAGGCTGACTACAAATAGGTGAACCCTCCCTGAACAAAAGAGATGTTTGGGGGCAAGTCAGGTACAGCTATTTCTTTGCAACACCATTGTGAATTTCATTGACCAGGTTTTAATCCCATCCTGAGTGAAAGAGAGGCCAGCAGTTACTTTGCTCTACAAAGCATAAGAGCCTAAATTTCTTAAATAGCATGGTAGATTGATAAAAGCTTACTCTCAAAAGGATACAGTGATTTTTATAATATACCTCTGGGTATTTCTCATATTTGACAGTTTATCTTTTCCTTTTGGAAATTAGAGATTGAAGGAATTATTATTTTTTAAGTGAACTTTTTAGTGGGGCAGTACTACCTTACCCTCAGAACAACGGGAAATAGAACCAAGGAGAGTGTTAGCCCCAAGCTGAGACTTGGGGCTGAGAGCTCTAATGAGAGCTGGCCAGGATACACGCCGTGTTCTACGACTCCTTTCTTATAAATAACCAATGTTGTGTTTGAAAATAATGTAGGAAAAAGCCTACCTGAGGAGGAGGGGTTTGCACACACGGATGTGTATGGGGGTGCGTGTTGGGGGGGGAGAGTGGGGAGTATATGCATGTATTGGGAGCGGTAGGGGGTGTGTTTACCTAGATCTTTAAAAGTTGCAAATATGAGCATAGGCATTTTTATAGCAGGATAATTCTTCACAGTGGCATAATTCCAGGCACTGGCTTTCTAACCAGTTTCTATAGGAGAACTGATATCCTGAAATACACATTCTCTCTGGCAACAGCATGCTTTTGATCAAAATTACTAAAAAAGAGGCCATTTTATTTTGTAATTCTGATTTATTTACCATCTGTGGGGAGTCGAGCTGTTCCAGTATTTGAAATAGAATGTGTGTTGATTGCTTCACAGCTTTGTGTGGTGTCCCTGGCATTATTCAGAACTCTCATCGGTTTACATTGTGAAGATGTGATGTTACAACTAGTTTTAAGGTGAGTTACCTGCTTTTGTTCTCTTTAAAAAAAATTACTCTGTGTAATCACTCTTTTATTTAACTTGGGTCATTTCAGCTGAGTAAGGGCCATGCTTCCAAAGAAAATGGTTGGGAGCCAATTCAGTTTGTGCATTGTTTCTCAAGGTTAACTTTCATTGTATTATGAAGAGCTTTGGGGGGCATATCCATTATATTATGAATATATTCATGGAAATAGGCAAATGGAATGTTTAGAAATTTTCAGAAGTATTATAAAGGCTCTTCAGGATCGTGGCTGAACTTTTCTCCCAAAGCACAATTGTTAGACACCTTTGTTACTAAACACAACTTTTCCAAATATGAAGTGCTATCGAATGTAATTGATTTGACTCTTTCTTTGGCAGTGGTGCACATCCACTGTGCATGATCTGATTTGTAAGTACATTTCAATCCAGGAAGTATTTAATGAGTACTCCGTGCACAGTTCCTTGAGTGGGGCAGATGAACTGAAAAAGACTTTGTACAGGTGACAAAGCCCATCCTCTGGAAGTGCAAGTGGGAAAGGTTTAATACAGCTGGTATTTGAAGATGGGTACCGGTTCAGAGTAGAGTGCTATCAGGATGACCTTCATTTGATAATTCAGGCGGGAGACTCAGTGGCACTGAAACCTGCCTTGGCCCAGCTGTGCCTCTGCTTTTCTGGGTCCCTGGGGAAGGTGTCTGCTTTTGAGAAGGAAAAGCAGCGGTGCTTTACCGTTAACTCTCAGTTTGCCCTGTGTCTCTGTGTGGAATTCTAGAAACTTCAGCTGGTGGTTTCTTCTTTATGCTGAACCCAAATTCTGAGTCTTGGAACTGATTGCTTGAGGACTGGCCGAGTGGAACAGAGGGCCAATGTCCAGTGGAAGACTGGCCAGCACACTCCTGGGGGCGTGGAGTAGACACCCAGTGTGCCCAGCTCCTTCCTTAGTGAACTCTGTGACTCCTCACTCACTCTGTCCTTAGGAATAAAAGCAGATGAAGTCGAGAGTGGGAGAAGAGGAAGGCGACCTGAGCTTTCCCTCGCCCACAGCAGGGTGTAGTGTGGTTTGAGTAGAGCCCACGGAGAAAGCATGCCGTGGAGTACTGGTCTTTCCAGGGAGGGAGCTCTAGAAATGTAAGGGCTTGGCAAAGTGCGAGCTGAGAACAGCAGCAGTAGCTGGGCCCAGGAGGTGATAAGACATGCACATTCCTGGCTCCTTCCAGAACCTTGCTGGATCAGAAACTTGGAGATAGGGCCCAGCAAGCTGTGTCTTAACCAACTCTCTGGAGAGTTCTGGTGCACCGCTGGGTTTGAAGGATGAAGTGGTGTGGAACAGGCGTAGCATCTTGCAAAAAGGAATGATTAAAAATCAGTCTGAAAAAGTTGGTGGTTGCATATCGTGGAGGGCCTTACAGACTTGTCATTTTGTGGGAGATTATCACCTATTAGATGTTTAAGTAAAAAAGATTTTTGAACTTTTTAGGCTTTAGACCAGGTCATCAGTAACTAATCTTACGGTATTAGCAGAGAATAAATCCAATCATAAAGAAGCACACTGGGTAGTCTGTCCTAAAAGGATTACTTTAGCTCCCCATCAAGTATCTAGTGACATGACAAAATGCATTAGCAAGGCCTGAGTGAAGTCCAGAAGAATAATTTGGTGAAACCTTTTTTACTGCCAAAAACCAGGCTTTTATTCCAAGGTGGGTAAAACCTGATTGTATTTAAACGTTAAATTTTTAAATACTCCTGCTCTGATGGCAGGAAGAGCAGCTACGTGGGGGCATACTTGGAAGGCTGCCTTGGTTGGGAGGTACAGAGCTTCTCCCCCCAGGGGTCACCAGGGCAGATTCAGCCCATGTGGTGGGAGCTTTGTATGCTGGCTGTCCAGGGACCTTACAAGGTGAGCTCTCATCACCTTGTGTCTGCCTTTAAAGTCCTAGAAGTGGGAGGGGCAGGGGAAAGGAAAGAAGGGAATGGAATCAATATGAGACAATGAAAAAGTGGAAACAAAGTCTTTGTAAATAGGGCGGGGTGGAGGGGTTGAAAGGAGGGCAGGGGAAGGGGAAAAATAAGAACCAAGAGTGATTATGTAAAGGTGCAAATTTCCAGTGATGAATGTAACTGTATTGTGTACCTAAGATGTACCAATAAAATTAATAAAAAAAAGAGGGGGATGAAGTATCTCAACATCCTGAAGAGTAAATAACTATAAATTATTTTTAATATAAAAAAGAAAAATAAAGTCCAGATTAAAATGTCCTCGGAGATGGCATTAATTAGCCTTGGCTTCTCTCAAAACCCGTATGTGTGCCTTACGAAGATGGAGGAATCAGCTCGTGTTTCAAATATGTACAAGTCCACCTCAGGGCTGGCCATATCCATAGTGGACAAGGACTAATAACTTCCAGAAAGTGCCCGCAAAGTGTCATCAAGAGTTCTAGACCAAATGTCAGATCTGAGATTAGAGCTGAGATCTGACTGCCGGTCCGAGGCTCTCTGAGCCCAGGTTTGCCCGCCCTTCCTCCCTCTCTCCGTGTAATACAATAATATAGTTGTTATTTATTGAATACTTCCTCTAATTCCACTGCGCTGCCTGAGCAAGTCCCTGAGGAGAGTGGATGAGAAGACTTACAAGAGACCACTGGTTCCTGGTCTCTTTCCTCTGAACTGCTGATTTGATTTGACCTATTCTGGTTTTGGAATATGCTACTTCATACGGGTTATTGGGAGGACCAATTGTGGTGAAAATGTTTTGAAATGATAAAAAGTACTGCACAAACTTAAGGGAGGGGAATTTTCTAGAAAATGCATCTAGAAAATGCAAAATTCATGATGAATAATGTCTTTTCTGATTTAGAATATGTCCCCAGAGCAAGGGCAATAAAAAAAACTCTATTCTTCTAGTCCCTTCAACTTTGTGTTAAAGGACATAAAAATAGATTTATAATCTTATCTTTTTTTGTTTTTTTTCCAACACAGGAGTCATTTAAATGTATATGTAAACTGAAAGGCCATAGAGCAGTGAAGGCTATATAAATGCTTTTTCAGTGATGTTATCTTCATTCAATAAAAAGTGATAAATAAGTAGCGATAAACAATGATCATATGTCAATTTCTGTTGCAACTTAAATGCTCTTAAATACTGACTGTTCAAAGTGATATTTTGTTTGCAACTGATAATGTTGCTTTCATTTGGAGGAATATCGGAAAAGCAGCTCAGAATAAGATACTCCCAAGAAGGGTGTTTCAGTGAGCAGAAAACCAGGGAGAAACTGCTCACTTCCACGGATGCAACGGCTGATAGGCCAAGGGCAGGCGGAAAGGCTGACACGTAGCGAGGTGGAGATTACCCTCTGCTCCTGGAGCTTCCCAGTGAAGGCAAAATTTAATTGCTTAGCACCTTGAATGTCATTTCTGAGTATTTTCAGTGGGGACTTTTCTCCAGAAGTGCTGGTCCCTTGTCAGGTTGTGAGCTGTGTTCCCGTTATGTTCGGGTAGAGCTGGAAGAGAAGCTTTGTGTTACACTTACAGAACAGTTCCCCGCCTAAGAGTTGGGGGTCTGGAGGAGAAAGGAAAGTGAAAGACAGCCAGCTCAGAGGAAAATGAATAGGAAAAATGTTCAAAATTTCTTTGAATAAGAAATCTTTTGAAATTGACTAACATTGCTGTATAGAGTTTTGGATACTGGCACGTGGTGAGGGTTGCTATCATCTCAGAAGAAACACATGGCTTGGGCTAGGGCCGGGGATTTAGCTCAGTGGTCCTGGTGCCTGCCTCTCAAGCACAGGGACCCGAGTTTGATCCCCGGTACCAAAAAAAAAAAAAGAAACACATGGCTTACCTTATTCTACTTTGCTGCTGGGTTTGGCGTGCTTTTCTTGTCAGTGCAGTAAAAAGCACTGTGTGTTCTTTGTCATCAGTTGCTTGTTACTGAATTTTTCAGAAGTGATTGTTTAATAATGAGTAATATCTAGAAAAAAAGAAATAGTCCCTGTATTAGTCAGCTGTTTCATCACTGACACAATCCTTGAGAAATAACAACTTAATGGAGGAAATACTTATTTTGGCTCACAGTTTCAGAGGCTTCAGTCTGTGGTCAGGTGGCTCCATTTATTTTAGGTCTGTAATGAGGCAGAAACAGCCTGGGGGATGGGTGTGGGGTATGGAAGCTGCTCACTTCATGGCTGCCAGAAAGCATCAAGCGATAGAGGCATAGAGGAAAAGAGCCAGAGAGCTGGGGACCAGATCTAGTCCCCAGGATCATGACCCCATGGCCATCCCCTTCAACTAGGTCCCACCTTCTGTTTCTGTCACTTCTCAACAGTGCCATCAAAGCCAGGCATGGTGGTGCACGCCTGTAATCTCAGCGCTCGAGAGGCTGAGGCAGCAGGATCATAAGAAGTTCTAAGGCCATTCTGGCCTACATAGTGTGCTCAAGGCCAGCCTGAACTATTTAGTGAGACCCTGTCTCAAAAAATTAAAAAAAAAAGTCATCAAATTATCTCATCAGTAGATTACTGCACTCGATGAAGTTGGAGCCCTGATAATCCGATCATTTTCTGCAAAGCCTATGAACCGGCAACCAAGCCTTGAGCACATGAGTTTTGGGGGATATTTCAAATATAAACTATTGTAGACCCAAGGTTGTAGAGGGTTGGGGAAGTAATGAAAATGGGGAGAACAATAGGGACATTTTGACCACTGCTATTTTGAGAGATTGCTTTGAGTAATCCAGATGCCTAAAGTCAGTATTTGTTAGTCTCTGATTATTCTTCCTGAATTTAAATGAAGTCCCCATATAAAATAAATATATAAATGAAATGATAGTTTGATGGCAAATACCTATACTCAATGCCTAAATGATTTTCTGCTGTTGACAACCACCTTATTTTGATATCTGACATTTGGGAAACTTCTAGCATTTATTTTATTCCTAATCTTTCCCTGTAAATGATGGGAAGGCAGAGGGTTGAGGTATGGTTTGCTACTCTGTCACTGTGCTGAGCCTTCATTTTAAAGATACTGCAGAAACAATTGCTTTGAGTACTAAGGAGGTTGGTCATTCAAATGGATTCCTCTGTTTCCAATTTCATAGAACCTCTTCTTTAGCCAACAGAATCTCTTTTTGTTTGATTTATTCAGAAGAGAATTCTTAGTTTCTGCTGAAAGCTTGTACGGTGTTTGCAAAGTTGCAAATTGACAATAACTATTTATTCTAAAATAGTTTCAAGGAACCCATTAGCGATACTTGATAAATAGATTTATTAACTTTGACCCATTGTTCCACTTTTTGATACTTGAAACAAACATTAGAAGTCTGTGTGTATCAACTGTAATCAGGAGGTGTGTTTGGTTTGAGCTATAGGGTAGTCGTTGAGTTCTCATAGTCAACAAAGCAGTTTATTCTGTAAATAATTAATGACCAAAATAAGGACATAATCCTGTGTAATCTGAATTTGCCCTGCCAGCCTTCGGGAAAGAAGAATTCACGTCAGTAAGCACGGGACAGGTCTCCACAGCCATCTCTTGTGTGTACTCATGAGCAGGTCTGTCCTTCCCCCGCTGTGACAGCCGCGTCTGCGTGGGCTCCTCGCCTCTGTCCCTGCCATGCACCCTGGCCCCTTTCCTGAGGTGCTGGAGCACCCTGCCTTCCTGCGGTGTCTGCTGGGCTCTAGCAGTGCTGGGTTCCGACAGAGGTGGACAGATGCCTCTCCCTCATGGCATTGCTGCTCACCAGAGCATTTCTGCCCCCAGAGACCCTCCTGAGAAAGTGCTCCTTCATCTTTCACCTGTGTCACTCATCTTTCCTATCTTTGCTCCTGTGGGCTTCAGGTACAAGTTCCCAGAGCTGAGCCAAGCAGGAGCACACACCTGCCCCTTTCTCACTGTCCTCCAGCTTTCCTGTTCTTGCAGTTTTCAGCTGAGTGTATGAGACTAGATGACCGCCACATTAGACGTGACTGGCGGGGGCCATCTAGTTCTTAGTGACAGCAGTTTAATAGGTTCCTGCTGGCTTGAACCACCAGCAGTACATGCATGACTGTCCTGTCATTTTATCAGTCTTTTTACTAATAAAAATCGGTAAAAAGCTGTCCAGTGGGCCAGTCACGCAGGTCCCACCAGTGGTTCAAGCGAGACATACGAATTACAGCCCCCTTGTGAACACTGTGAGTGGTCTGTGCCTGTGGGGGGGAGCAGGGGTGGGACCCCCTTACCTCCTGCAGGAGAAATGCAGAGCGCTTGAGAAAGTTTGATTCTGGGGAGACTGAAGGTTAGGGGGCAAGTTTGTCATTTCATACCTGGAAGGTTATTCTTAAAACCTGTATCGTAAAGAACGGTGAAGAGAATTGGATCATTCTTTGCTCCCTGACTTAGGTGGTCGCCAGGGATTGGGTGTTAATACAAACAGCCTTTCTCAGTTGGATCACCAGGAGGCGCGGGAAATGGCTTGATGTTTACAGGCCCCAGGACATATCCTGCAAGTCGTATGTTTTATCTTTTTCACTGAAACCTTATTCATAGTTTGTGCTTCCCCTGTCTAGAAAGCTCAGGAGTATATGGAAACACAAAGCATTCTGGCTTATTGAAAGACGGTGGTTGTGCAAAGGAGGTGCTGGCTCCTGCGCATCCGCATGGCACTCGGCTTGGCTCCTTCGTCCTGTCTCCATCTTTGTTATCTCCATCAGACATGAGCTCTGTGGTTTTCTTTTCTAAGAAAGCAGCCGTGTAAATACTGCATTCTACACAGGAAGCCCACATGTGTCCCCGCTGTCTTGTCTTCAGGTCCATGACTCTAAGATGCTGTGGTCTCTGGGCAGCAGTGTCTTGGGTGAAACGGGGCCTGGTGCTCCTTGTCAAGCCCTTGGCCACCATGCTTTTTCCTGGTCACTCATGAGAACCTAAGAGGTTTACACCAAGCTAGGTATGGCAGTACAGCCTGTAATCGCAGCACTCTGGGAGGCGGAGGCAGGAGGATCCTAAGTTGCAGCCCAGCCTGGGCAACTTAGACCCTGTCTCAAGATTTTTAAAAAAAATAAGTTTACACTGCAGAGTGGTTGTGTGCTGTCCACTGAGCCAGAGTTTTCAAGATTGTAAGACAAAAATGCTGTAGCAGGCCCTTACTCTGGTAGCATGTTATTATATAGAGGAGGCAGATGCTCAAAGTGTGATACGGGTAATAGTCCTTTACTGGTGAGCTTCGTGGTGGGAGGGGTCCTCTTTGCCTGGGAGTGGGGAGCTGGGAAGTCTGCTCAGAGCAGGCGGTGCTGAAGCTGCGCTTTATAGGGTAACAGGACACTGTCAGGAAGGAAGAGCGAAGCACACCCCAGGTGAGGGTCACAGTGGGTGAGGAGGTCCAGAGACGAAGAGGGGGAAGAGGAGACAAAGAAATTCATGGAGGTCAAATTCCAAAGACTCAGATGTTCTGCAGAGGGATGGGGTCAGAAGGGAGATGCTCCGGACAAATTGGAAGCAAGGAAGCAAATGGGTCCTGCTGGCCAGAGTGACGGGCAGATGAGAGTACAGGACCCTGTCCCATCCTGGGTTAGGGCCCCGCGAGACTGAAGACTGCGCTCTCTCTCTCTCTCTCTCTCTCTCTCTCTCTCTCTCTCTCTCTCTGTTGTTCCAGGTACCTGATCCCCTGCAATCACATGATGCTGAGTCAGAGGTGGGCTGTGAAGGAGAGAGACTGCTACTCGGTGTCTGCTGCCAAGCTGCTTGCCTTGACCCCCAGCTGCTGCGCCAGTGGCATCACCCTGACTCTGGGGCACCAAGAGCGGGATTACGTTCTCTGGTCAGAGTGCACACACGATGGCTCAGGTAGGAGCTGGCCGGGGATGATTTTTAAGCAGCACGCCAGGCTCTATCTCTTTGGGCTCTGAGTAATGTACAGTCCCATTTCTGTGGTGAGGGACTTGGAGTCCCTTTCTGCTTCATGAAGTGTTGTGGACACTACTGTGTTCACTGAAGCACCTACCAGGGCCTGGTCAGTTGTCTCAGATCTTTATTGTAAGTGGCCGTTGTAGTGGCACTTTGTAGCATCTACATGTGAAAATGTATTCGTGCGTGTGTCTTCCAAAGCAAAATCAAAATTGTGAGTATGGAGATGGCTGTGGGTAAGGTAGAATTAGTCCCTACTTTAGTTTCCAAAATGATTCATTTGCGGATTGTCTGCCAGTCAATAATACATCGCTATAAAATTGAAAATTGTGACATGGCAATATTATCTGATTAATTTGATTGACATAATGGGGGTTTCATAAATATCCTGTTTTTATAAGAGTTATATTATGCATGGATTGTTTGCCAGCTATAATTCACTCTGTACAAGTACAATTTATTTATTTATTTATTTTTTTGTGGTACTGGGGATCAAACTCGGGACCTTGAGCTTGCGAGGCAGGCGACGGAACCACTGAGCAAATCCCCGGCTGTACAAGTACAATTTAAATGGCTACCTCTATTAACCTTGATCCTTTGACAGGCAGTTGGTGGCAGAGGGGCAGATATTTGTGTGTCTCTGATGGTCACATGGCTGTTGCAGTTCCGGAGCATTCTGCCTGTCCTGTGACCACTAGGAAATGGCTTGGGCCTGTTGCTGAGTCAAGTGTTTCCAAGTTCTATGCTGATATTTCCTCCAGTAATGTCACCCTGCCCACCTAGCCGCGGTACTCTTAGATAAGTATGTTTAAAGGCTGAGCTGCTTGACTAAGGAACTGTCATCATATTTTATATAAATGTAATATTTAGAAATTAATGTGATCTTTCATGATCTTTAGATAAAGATACTGTGTATGCATGGAAATTAATAATTTATGTGAATGTATTTTAAGTATATTTTTCTGTTAGTCAAACTAGCGTAGATGTCTTATTTTCTCATCCAGAAGTTATTTTTAAAAGCACGTTTGAAAATGGGTATCATTTTTATTTACTATGAAAGTTGTTTCAGGAGTAATTTTGTGGCTAAACTTGACTCAGAATTCAAAATTCAAATTAAACATGTGATGTCCACAACTTGTGATTATATTTAATGCTTTAAAGAAAGCAATATCCCATTTTTGCAGGTGAAGAAGCAAACAGTGAGGAACTGACGTGTTTGGGATGACATTGATCTGAGACACACTGATTCCACATTCCATGCCCTGTGCACACCCTGTCAGCAGGGTTGCCCTGCAGCAGATTGGACACCTGATGGGTGGGCACATAGCTGGCCGGGCTAGTCCCTGTGCCCTGGTTAGCAGCTGAGGTTCTGAGTCTTGGCACTGCCGCTGTCTGGGGCAAATTTCTTAACCCTTCTGAACTTTTCTCATCTGTAAAACAGGACCTACCCCAAAGGGTTGTCCAAGGACAAGTGAATTAAGACACATAGAGTTCTTAGAAGACTGTGTGGCATATAGTAAGTACCCAGTAAAATTGTTAGTGGTAGTTTTTAGCGTATTTTCATTTAAAGTAGATAAGAAACATTACTCTTTTTGCAGTACAGTGGTAAAAAATAAGTTACTTAATGACCTGACAGTAGGCACTCAATACGGAGCAGCTCAGTCCTGACCCAGGCTGTGGAGATCAGGTCCTGGAGGGGGTGACACTGCGGTGAGCACGAGGGCTGATCTGAGGTCACCATGTTGCAGCTCTGGGCCTGGTGGAAACGGGGATGAGTGTTCTTCCACCTGTGAGCCTCCCTTCATTTGTGCGTGGGGAAAGTAATGTCTATTCTAGAGGGTCGTTGGTTAACTTCAGTGCATTGACAAGGCACCTGCGTCATTCTAACTGGTCAAGAAATGATAGAATATACATTTTCCTAGTCTTTTTTTTTCCTTTGAGGAAAAATGTAAACTTAAAATGAAAATATTTTCACAACTATTTGAGTAATGAGGTTGGGACTTTTAACATCAAAGATGGTCGTATATTAGGACAGAGAGTATTCTCAGATTAAAATGACTATTTTGGCAGTGAATACGACTTTAAGAGACAATTTGATACATGTTAACATCCTGATAGTCCCTACAAAGGCAGAATGAGTTAATTGGCTTTTCTAAAAAAACCAGTGTTTCTACAGAAAACCTGGTCCCCAAATTCATGGGTGACCAACCTCCCACTTTAGAGTCAAAGTGAAAAAACTCTAGTTATTACTCACTCTGTGGCAGGGACACCACTAAGTATATATATAATGTTATCCTCTCACCTCGAGAGGTAGCTCCAATTAGCTCTTATTTCTCTAAGGACTGATAGCAACAGTTTTCTGTAGGCTATAGCCAGGATTTGGCCATTTGGCTTTGTATCTTCTGTGAGGTCAAAGTCTCTATTATTAGCTTTCCTTTTTAAAATCTGTTCAATTCTCAGTACTACAAAGCAAAAGGAAACAAAAGCTAATCACCTTTTGTTATTCAGATATTATTTTATCAGAAATCACCAGGCCTAAAGCTAGGTCATAGCGGCACAGATCACATCCCAGTCTACCACACTTGTCGCCTGTTGCTCTGACAGTTGTTTGTCCCCTCAGGGCCTGCAGAGCCGCTGCCCGAGACACCCTTGCCCTCAGCCTGCATCGTGGAGCGTGGGAAGGCCCTGGACATCAGCTACCTGCAGTACCTGTGGGAGGCCCATACCAACATCCTGTGCTGCATGAGGGACTGCCGTGTCTGGTCCGCGCTGTATGATGGGGACTCGCCCAGCTCCGAGACATTTCTGTGCAGCCTGCGGGAGGATGGCCCCGTGCGCTCGGTGTGCCTCGGGTCCCAGCTCCCGCAGCACCTGGGGAAGGGTGGCTCTCAGCTGACTCCAGCCAAGGACAAGGGCCAGACAGAGCTGGAGTGGGATGACAGCTACGACACAGGCATCTCCTCGGGGGCTGACGCAGGGTCCCCTGGGGCTTATGATGACCTGGAGACTTCTGGCCCCCCAGTGCCCGTTGATCCCCCTAAGCACATCCAAGAGATGAAGAAAAATGCCATCTTGCTTTTCAAAGGGTCCTACATTGAGGAGTCGGACTTCCAGGACGACGTGATGGTGTACAGGCTCTGTGCAGAGAAGGATGCGGAGGAAGCCAGGGACTCACAGGAGGAAGCTGCAAGGCCGCCACCTGAGGCCCAGCCTGAGGTTCACAGTTCCCCTGTGAACAGCAGGCCCCTCAGTCCCCCGCCAGAGTTGGATTCAGAGGGGGAACACAAGATGGACAATTCAGACCTGTTTCAGAAGATGTCCAAGGATCCAGTGCAAGAGAATGTGCCTGAGATAGCCCCAGGATCAGAGCCAGAGTCAGCAGCCCCCACCTCTGAGGCAGAACACAGTCCAGACCTGCTGGTAATCGGCCCAGCGGGCGAAGACTTCATTTCACAGTATGACCAGATCATTAGAGAGCTGGATGCGGGCTCTGAGAGATTGATGGACCAGAGCTTTCTCACACCACAGCCCTTGCTTCTCCCCAGAGAGGAGGAAGGCAGGGAAGAAGAATGCCGAGGAGAAAAGGACGGGGTGGAGGAGCCGCAGCAGAAGGATGTGGAAGCGGAGGAGGACGACTTTGACTCTCTTACAGCAGAAGCTCCTGCTGTGGCGAGTGTGCCTTCCCCGTGGGGGGCAAGAGAGGAGGCTGCCTTTGCTGGCCACCATCCTGTGAGGACTCCGAGCACTCCGTTCACAGGTGACCGTCTTACATTGCTCTGTGTGGTCAGGTTTCGAGGGTGCTTGTGCGTATTGGATCAGGAGTGTACGGTAGGTGAAAGTGAGAGCATTATCTGCTTGCCTGACAGGGAGAAGATGTTTGGAAAGAGCAGAGAGGGATAGTCTTGGTTTTATTTTGTCAGTTTTTGAAACCATCACCTGATTTTTTTTTACCAAGTTGGGGTTAAATTTTACTACTTAGTAACTTGATATGCCTGTGATAAACTAATAGGACTGATTTAACCACACCGGATTCCAGTCTTGTTTATTGTTTAACCTCATATCCTTTAGTCTAATTTTTCTTGTTACCATTTGTATGTGTATTTTTTATTACTGTCTCCTTCGCTAGAGTGCCAGCTCCAGGCAAGGAGAGAGGTGTTTGTTCTGAGCTCTCTCTGACGCTGGGCAGTGAACAGGGCAAGCGCACAGTAGGTGCTCAGAACATGTGTACACATCGGAGGCCACTGGGATAGTTGTGCCTTTGCCTGGGAGTGCATCCCGATGATCATAGAACCTCACCCCAAAACGGAGCCGGGAGCCACACAGGGTCATCACGCTTCTGCAGGTGCATATGTAAGTGACGCACTCGCTGCCAGCAGCAGGTAGAAATCACATGCATAGGCAAAGGGGTAGGAAAGGCTATCAGAGGAGTGGATCAGGGTGAGGAATTACTTAGAAACATTAAATATTAACCAATAAAATCAGAATCTGCAGGTGAAGGAGTCTCTACAGATGAGAAGGCCCATTAAGCTCAGAGAGGGACCCCTGAGGGATGGCAGTCAGTATCGAGGAGTAGTGCTGGAGGAAGCTAGTGATGCAGAGGGACAGACGGTACTGTCCAGCCTGGCCTGGGCAGTGTCCTGACTGCTTCTTCCAGGCTGTGCAGCCTTGGCAGGCCTGGGCTCATTTCCCGCTGCGCGTGGACTGGGCAGAGGGGGTGTGACCGCTGCTGTGGCAGGTCCCCCTGCGGCCTTTGGGCTGCACATTCCCTGGCATGGGGAGCAGTGAGGTAAGAATGGACTGCACCCCACTCCCAGGCTCCCAGGCAGGGATGAAAGCAGACTGTCCCCTGGTCCAAATGAGTAGGCTTTAATGCAATTTCAAGGGGCTCTTCCACTCCCCTCCCGCAGTATTTATTCATTTATTTACTGATGCCTGAAGGCTTAAACAGGGGAAAGCTTTTAATTCCACAGTTATAAGGCATGAGGAGAAATCTAGCTGAGATAACATTTCAGTGTGAACAAGTTTTAATTAAAATCCAATCAGTCAATCGTAAGTAAAAAGGATTAGATCATCTCATATTTCCCAGTTGATGCAGGGCAAGGGGGGCAGCAGGAGACATGAGTCAGGAGAGGGCAGAAGTAGGTATGCACCTCGGGACTTGCCAGGGGCTCCACGTACTCTCTCCCAGCCTTCTCCAGCAGCCTTCTTGTGGGACGTCAGGGGTCCCTGTGTGTCATAGCTTTCTACCACTGTGGAAAAATACCTGAGAATAACACCTTGCAGGAGGAAATATCTACTTTGGCTCATGGTTTCAGTCTGTAATTGTCTGGCGCCATTGCCTTTGGGCCTGTGGCAAGGCAGACATATCATGGCAGAAAGGGCTGTCGAGAAAAGCTGCTCACCTCTCATCAGCCAGGGAGCAGAGAGGGGGCCAGGGAGGAAGGGGCTGGGAACGGGTGTCACCCAAAGGTTGCTGCCCCCATGCCCTCCACCCGCAGCCAGGCCCCACCTCTTCCTTTCCCGTTACCTCCCAGTAATGCTATCGGATTCTCAATCCATTAATAGGTCATTCCCACAGATGAAGTTGGGGCCTTCATGATCTACTCATGACCTTCCAAAAGCCCCACGCTAATTAGGCCCTGCTAATGCTGCTGTCGTGGTGACCAAGCCTTCCTCATGAGCCTTTTGGGGACTTTCCAGACCCAAACCATGATGCCGTGGCTATGGAAGCTATTCTTTAGAATACGAGCTTTCTCACAGTGGAGCTGCACCCCTGGGAAATGTGTAAATTAAGGAAACAAAGTATAGTTAGGGGCTGGGGTAGCTAATGTGACACCTTGTTAAATAACATCAGTACTTTACATATGATACAACTGAGAATGGATAAAACAACGTGGTTCTTTGATACACCTGTGTAATTATAATTAAAACCTTGCCTTTTCCCTCCTTCCTTTGGAACTTGTACACAGTTTCAGGAAACATCTTGTCTCTGTGTTTGTGAGCTTTGTAGTTTCCGGACTTCTGAGTGTGTTCTGTAGCATTCGGCTTAACTTCCTTCTTTCCAGGGAATACTGATTTTTTTTTTCTGAAATGAATGCATATTCTAGCAAAATCAAAGCATTCCATTTATCTAATTTTCTAAAAATTCATGCATTCAGCCTTTTCTATTGATCTCGTAATATTTGGCAGGTTCTATGTTTAGCAGCTAAGGACACAAAATGAGATGTATTCAGTCTTTCAGAGGAGACACCAGCAAAAAACTGCGTTCTCTTAGTGAGCGTACTTATCAGTATTGTATCCCAGGTCCAAGGTGTCCAGAGGAGGGGTGCTGAGGACCAAGGGATACAGAGGAGCCCCTAGCAGGGAGGAGGGACAGAAAGCCAGTGTGTGTGGCTGATGTCGGCTTACAGGGACCTTTGGGTCAAGCTGAAGAATGCAGATCTTGTGTCCCCAGCCCTTGTGGCATTAAAGTTGGGAGAAATTTGGCCAGGTCTGAAAAAGCCAGTCTTACAATGGTGTGGGAGAGGTTGGTGCCAGCAGAGGCTCCTGTTGTAACAGGATTGAGGATGCAGCAGTGCTTCGAGCTGCCCCTTCTCTTCCTAGGAGTGTTCTTACTCTTCTGGGCCGAGCTGTGTGTGCAGGGATGTTCACTGTAGCACACTGTTTATAATAGAATAGGGCTGGAGACAACTCAGATGCCCTGCAGTAGGAGACCAGCTTATTTACCCAGCTCTCTTCATAATGCAGTATTTTATGGCCTTGAGATGATTGAGGTAGCTCTGTATGTGCTGGTGTAGGACAGTCTCCAGAATATATTGGTAAGTGTAAGAGCGTGCCTACCCATCAGTGTGGAAAGAGCATTGTCATTTCCTTTTTTTTCTTTTGGTACAGGGGATCGAACTCAGGACCTTGCCCTTGCGAGGCAGGCAGCAGAGCCACTGAGCTAAATCCCCAGCCCAACATTGTCATTTCTTTTTAAAGTACCAGGGTGCACACACACACATGTATATGTACACACAGGGCAAGATCATGTGTTGGTTAAGAGCATTGAAAACAGTTTGAAATTCTGACTCCATTATTTACTGTCTGTATTCTCTCTTACCTTTAGGACAAATAATAAACATACTTTTTTTTTTTTGGTACCGGGGATCGAACTCGGGTCCTTGCACTTGCGCAGCAGGCGGCGAAACCACTGAGCTAAATCCCTGGCCCAATAAACATACTTTCTAGGGTAGTTGTATTAAGGGAGTTGATACATAAAAAGCATCTAGAACCCTGGCTGGCACATGGAAGGTGCTTAATATTTTCAGAAATTCAGCTAGACATACTCATAAGACATTTCTGGAGGGATACACAAGAGTCTCTTAGTACTGGTTTCCTGGGGGTGGGGTGGATTTCACTTTAAATCCTCATACTGTATTTAAAAACATATGGGTCTCCCATATATCTATATCTGTATCTATTTCTATAATCATTTTAATTGCTATTAAAATAGAAGAACTGTTGTTGGAGTCCAGAGAGGAAATGATGAGACTGTGGCCTGAGGCAGAGCTGGTGGCTGGTGAAGATGAAGACCCACATTCGGGAGAGGTTTCCTGGGAGGAGTTTGCTGAGCTGGGGCACAGAACTGATGGCAGGTCTCTTCTTGGTCTTGGGATATACAGGATGAGGGAGCACATGGGCCAAGGCAGGGGATGGGGTCCCTTGTGGGGAGAGAATGAATGACGGGGGTAGACGGAGATGGCCTTAGTCATCCTGGAAAATTAAATATTTTATGGGTGGTGTGTTAGGTTTCTGCTACTGTAAGAAGATACCTGACAAAAGCCAGTTTATAAGCCATGAAAGTTTATTTTGGCTTACAGTTTTAGAAGTTTCAGTCCATGGCTTGGCCTTATTGCTTTTAAGAGAAAGACAGCACCTCATGGTAGGAGTATTTGGCAGAGGAAGCTCCTTGCGTTATGGTGGCCAGGAAGTGAAAAAGAAAGAGTAGGGGTAAGGTCCCACTGTCTCCTTCAAGGACGAACCCCCAATTACAAAACTACCACTGGGTCCCACCACCTAAGCTTTTCCACCTCCCAGGAGCACGATAGTCTAGAGACCAAGCCTTCAGCACCTAGAACTTTTCGGGACATTCAGGACCCAAGCTCTAGGAAATGGGGAGTTTATGTGTCTCAGGAGAAGAGGGAAAAAACCCATGCCCCTGTGGCTTTCTGAGTTACAGCTCAGCCTTCCGATTTTCAGCTCTTTACCAATTGCTCTAGCAACTGCTTTTTGCTAAGTACTTAAAAAAAAGTTCTAGATACCAAGAATAAAGTAGGAATTTTTTTTCCCCCAGTACTGGGGATCAAACTCAGGTCCTTGCACTTGCGCTTGCGCAGCAGGCGATGAAACCACTGAGCTAAATCCCCGGCCCTAAAGTAGGGTTTATATCTCCATGCCAAGAAGCCAGCATCATTGGTGGACTGTGATGGCTTGACCTGTGTGTTGTCACTCACCTGAGACAGTGACCGGATGGGATTCTCCTCTTCCCTGAGAGTGGGCTTCAAGCTGTTTTCCTCCCTCTCTGCAGTAGTGATGGGCTGTAGCTCATCTCCTTGATCACCGGTAGTCAGGGCTTTTCAAGTCTGTAGGATGGCTGGGTAAGGACAGATATAGCTTGGGATTGGGAAAGGGGAGTTGGCCGATTGCATTATGGACATATATTTCACTGGAGACTGCTCCCTGTGTGTGCCTTCGTTGACTTGTTTCTGGTCCCTCTAGATGGATGCAGATAACAAGTCAGGGACTGCCGGGGAAGAGGCAAGGGGGATGGGAGACAGTGGTCCAGAGTGGGGGGAGATGAGAGAAGCCTTCTCCTGTAGGTCCACCTGGAAAGCCAGAACCGTGCTGGGATGCATTAAGCAGAGTACGTGAGCTTTTCTGGGGTTCTTAACAGAAAATGGTTAGTTGCTTTCCAACTGGGGTTCCTTCCAGTCTAGAGTTTCTGAATGTGTTTGCCAGTCTCTCCCAGTTGTTTTGTAAGCTTCTCTAAGGGTTTATTGACCCCCCTCTGCCATGGAAAGTGACTGACTGTAGAGCTCTGCCTCTCATCACATAGATGGAGAAGTAGAGGCTAAGCTCTGCCGACATGATGATGGGGTGGTGCCTCTTCTGGATCTGAGACCCAGTAGGGACATCCTCAGTATCCTTAAAGACGGGAATATCGATCACAGTTGCCCTGTTCATCACCTTTGTGGGCAAAGGTTTGGTGTTCCCAGTTCTCATGGAGACTGTTTCCCAGCAACAGTCCCTTGCACACTACCAGGACTTCCGAATGTGTCTTTGTTAAACTCACGTTAATGGTGGTGAAGTCTTCATAAGGCATGTTTATTTACCAATGGTTATGTGCTTTTGTTATAAATATGCCATAGTTTAGTGGCCTCATCAAGAGCTCCACTGGGGCAAATACAAAATTCTCATTGATTTTGCTTAATGGAACATTTTTATGGCAAAAATTTAAAACATCTTTAAGTAGTTTTATTAATGCCAGATTTTTTTTGTTTTTCCTGCCTTCAGTGAACTCGAACACAAAGCATATTAATTTTCTAGTGACTCAAAGTAGCAGAAGCACTTTTTTGCCAATAAATATATATATATATATATATATATATATATATATTTTTTTTTTTTTGGTACCGGAGACTGAACTCAGGACCTTCTGCTTGCAAGGCAGGCAGCAGCACCACTGAGCTAAATCCCCAGGCCTGTGCCTAATATTTTTATGAACAACTTTTGCAGTCATATATGCAGGTTTTCTTTCTTAAGAACTCTGGCATACCAGACTGCATCCCCCAAGGCTGAATCCCTTCTTTCTTTCTCATTTGAAAAATTAAAATGTGATTGCTGAGTGGTCACAGTTGCTAATGCTATAGTGCAGATCCTCATTCCAGCCTTGTGTCTGTCTTTCCTGTCCTTCCTCGTTATGACATTTCAACAAGCAGTCTTTCTGAGAATACCTGTTCACGTTGCACAAGTTGCTGTTCAGTACATTTGGTTTGGATGTGTTTGGTAGTCCTTAATAACACAAAGATTTTTTGTTCCCCAAACTTTTGATGGGCTCTGATGTTTGTCCAAAACCTTACGTAGTTCATAGCATCTTGAGATGATGCGTTATGTTTGAGCACTGGTGACCACAGGAAAATAGAAACAGTGTAAAAAAGTGTATTTTTATAAACGTCTGATTTTTCTCAAGGCCCCTGATAATTTTCAAAGTACTAAAACTGCTTGTGGAGTCAAAATATTAGTTCCCATGAGTGGTGTTTGGTCTTCCGCTTGGGCCTGGTGCAAGGAAACTCTGGATGTGTGTGTCCATTGGGTTTGTACCTTGTGGCCTGTCATGGCTAGGCTGTGGCTCTGGTAGCTGTGCAGTTGATGAGACAGGTCCCCACCTGCCCAGCCATCCCTGCAGCTCTGTGTCTCCCCACAGGCCCATTCATGAGCGTGGTCCTCTCTAAGCTGGAGAACATGCTGGAGAACTCACTGCACGTTAACTTGTTGCTTATCGGGATCATCACACAGCTGGCCAGCTATCCCCAGCCCCTCCTGCGCTCTTTTCTGCTCAACACCAACATGGTCTTCCAGCCCAGCATGCGCTCCCTCTACCAGGTACGTATGTCTGAGGAGCCCATGTGATAGCTGGCGATTTTCTGCGTGCTGGTCTGTGGGACTCCTCTTCTTCTTCTCATGGTTTTTGTTGTTTTTCAGGAGTCCCATTGTCCTGATTTGCTTTCCTTCCTTGTTTATTATATTAGCTGTGTAGATTATTCTAGACAAATTGCAAAGCTTCATTTAGTTTGATGTTTTGAGGGTGTCCTACCAGGAACACCCAGGCAGTTAAAAATGAGCAAATGCCTAATAATATAATAGGTCTCCTAATGAGGGCTGTACCTGAAAGATATATGGGTAACTGAGAGTGGAATTCCATTGTGGAGCATTTAACATTTTTACTGTTGGTCTTGACAGGTCCTTGCATCTGTGAAAAACAAGATTGAGCATTTTGCCTCTATGGAGAGAGACTTCCCAGGCCTCCTCATCCAAGCCCAGCAGTACCTGCTCTTCCGGGTAGACATGTCCGACGTGACCCCTGAGGCGCTAACCAAAGGTCAGCCACTTTCTCCACTGCTCCCTCCTATTCCCCGCACCGGTTTGCATTTGCTGATGCTGCCCAGGCACCTGGGCTCTGGAAGCACCTAAAGATACTTTCAGTTTTACCCAACAGGAAGGAGCCTCCTCTTAGTGTTGTTAAATCTAAAGGACAGCCTGCCTGCCTGTGTCCCCTTTGGAGGGTCTGGTGGGGCATTTGTTTTCTTGAGTGAGGTTCAGGGAAGGTGCTGATGTGTGGGGTGTCTTTGGGCCACGATGAATAACAGCACCTTTGTGCCATCAGTGGCGTTATGTGCACTCCCCGAGCCATTTTTTTTTTTTGGCCAGCTCTGTCCTGAGGCGAGCATCTGTTCTCTTGATTATGTTTTCAGAGGCTCTGAGGCCAAAACCAGATGCATTTTAGGACTGGGAGGTGAGAACTGTTCCTTTGGACCAGGAGGAGTAAAGTTTGTGCTCAGCCCAGATCCCTGACCATCTCTCTTAGCCCCAGAAGAGAGGCGAGGGCGGGCCAGGCGGGTGGCTGGTGTGGAGCAGGACAAGGGCAGCTGAGAGTGTGGTCTGGCGCTGCTGCCTCCTTTTGGCTCTGGGTGGGCGGATTTGGTGCCTGTTGTCTCCTCAGTTGTGACCTGGGCCTTGGTGAGCACAAACAAGGACACGCCCCCTACACCTCACCGCCTTTTCTGTCCACATGTAGAGTCAGGCTCTCATGCGGGTGGATGGTAACAGGAATAGGGCCCTTTCCTCTGGGTTTCAGACAGATGATTGGGAGTGAGAGGCAGAAATGGCACCCAGCAGATTTTAAATCTTTAAAAGAAGCAGAAAAGGACCCCAAACTGTGCTCTGTGTGGCTGTTTGATCTTGGTCATCTTGCCCCATTGGGCCCTGCCTTTCTGTGGGGCTCAGGTGGGAGTGGAACCCAGGGCCTTGAGCATGCTAAGCGCATGCTGTACCCTCGCTTTAATGAAGGCTTTGTCTCCCATCTCTCAGGTCCTTTCTGACCACAGCCAGACTGGGTGTGATGAGCCTTTAGGGTTCTGCAAGGCAGACTTTGAAAGAGAGGTGAGCCATGTGCCACTGGTAGACCAGGGATCAGGCTTCAAGCTGCTGGACTTGGAGCAGAGCAGGCACAGCCACAGGGAGGGCAGGCAGCACCCGCCTCTTGGGAGAGGTGAGCCTGAGGCCCTGTGAGCCTCTGGGACACACAGATCATCACTCTGTGAGCAGAGTCCTTCTGGCCAGGGCGTGTGCTGTGGCCTGCCGTATGAGGAGGGTGTCAGTTGGCTGTATGTGGAGCAGCCACTGCCAGAGCTCAGTGGCTTAGAAAATAGCCCTTAAGCATCGTGTGTGGTGGATGTATCAGACCGCTCCTGGATGCCATGGGGGTGGCTGTCAGCTGGGGTGACAGGGCAGTGGGGGTGTCTCTCACTGTCCAGCAGGTTAGTCTTGGCCACTCAGCTTGTGGGCAAGAAGCATGGCAGACCTCCTGACGCTCAGGCTCTGAGCTCACACAGAGTTAAGCCTGCTGCTTTTTGTCAGCTAAAGCTCAGCACAGGGCCAGCCAGGTTCAGGAAGGGAGCAGAAGCCCCACCTCCTGATGAAAAGAGTTGCAGAGGACTGTGGCCCTTTCTGCAGCCTGCTAGATAAGCAGGTGGCTTCTGGCTCCGTACCCTGTGTTTTTACTTTAGGCTTGGTCTTCACTTATATTTGACAGTGTGTAAGGTGCTTTCCCAGGCAGTTTTTATTGTCAGACTGCACTGTCAAATGGGCAGGAAAGGAGCCATTAGCTCCATTTTCACATAGGGAAGCCAGAGAGAGTTCTGGGTGGGCAGTGGTGGGCGCCATTGTCACCTTGGGCTCTGCCCTGGCTTCAGGCTCCCCGGCAGCCACAGGGTAAGGTATGTGCCTGGGGGCTTGTTCTCACTGCATAAGGTCGTTAAGTTTTCAGCCAGGGTCGATGCTTTGATTTATTTATTTAGTGGTACTAGGGATAGAACCCAGGGCCTTCACACTGAGCTATAACTCCAACCATTTTTAAAATGTTTTATTTTGAGGCAGGGTCTCACTGAGTCACTAAGTTGCTCAGGCTGGGCTCTAACTTGTGATCTTCCTGCCTCAGCCTCCCAGAATGCTGGGATCACAGGCCTGCGCCACCACACCTGGCAGTGTTGATGCTTCTTAGGGTCAGTGACACTCACAGACTTTGGCTTGTAGGAAGCTTTGCTTGGGAAAGAAGGCTCTCTCCCTAACTTCTTTTAGGTTACCAAAGTGACACCCTCCCTTGCAGGTTGAAATTCTCTAAACTCACAGAGTGAGATACTGTTGTTTCTGCCTCTGAAGCACTTCCTGTCATGTGACTGCCTGTAAATGAGTAGAACTGGGGAGTCCTAGAGTTGCTGGCACACTGAGCAACTTAGAATCATGGCAGAGGATAACAGTGGGCTCCCTGTGTCCATTTGTGGTGTGTCCTTTCCTGGTGCTGCTTCCAGGAGGTGAGCTCCGAATGCATTTCCCTCCTCACTTCTGAAATTTCCCCGGTATTGGTCTGGAAAACCTTCTGTCATACTGTTTCAGGAAGCACTCTTCATGCTGACAGTTATTTATACTTCCCCTCCTCCATGCCTTTTCCTTCCAGTGCTGTGCATGTGTACTGCACTCTTGCATGAGGGGTGTAACTCAGGCTTGTGCACCCCCTCGCCTCCTGGCAGCCTCCTCACTGGTGTCCCTAACAGCCAGGAGAGGACCGCTGCTCACAGAGGCGGGCTTCCTGTTACCAGCTGCCACTGCCCTGTCCCTGGTCTCTTGGATTCTGCCACTTGCCAGGGTTTTCTTTCTCCCCTTCACATTCTTTGAAAACCAGACTACACATATATGCAGTCCTTTAGCTGACTCTCATTCTAGAAGGGAGGCCAGGTAAGTGTCATCCCATTTTACCGAGAAGGAGACTGGGACATTACATGATAAGCTGGTTACCAGGAAGGGACCATTACTCAGGTCTGCTTGCACTTGACTTGGGAGCTGGAGGATGCTTCCCTGTGGCAGCCTCAGGGATGTGGCGGCTGCTCATGGCTGTTAAGGGCTTCCCTCTTGTCCTCAGGCTAGTGCTCTTCTCCTTCAGTAGCAGGGACTGGATGCTGGGATTCAAGCTGGGTAGGTCAGCCCTAGGAGTGACACAGGTCACCCTGGATAAGTGAGCCATAGTACAGCCTGCTTAGAGGAGAAGAGCAGTGAATCTGAGGGAAGAGGTGGAAACGGGACTGGGAGCTGGCTCCGCTGAGGGTCTCCGGGAGTAGGAGGACTGGTGTTGGTTGTACCTTCACCCAAGGCTCAGCAGATGTTGATATAGAAGAGTTGCAGGGTGTGAAACACATCATCAGATGAGACTCAGAGTGTATGTAGCGGAGGAGACAGAACATGAACCGCAGTGCCAGGCTGAAGAGCAGTGCCACCCTTTGCTGGGAGGCTAGGGCAGGGCGGGACTTTCGGGCAGGGCTGAAGGTGCGCTGTACAGTCAGCGGCAGCTGGCTGGAGACGTACGCCCTGGTGTCGCACTTCCCAGCGGCGCCTGGGTCCTTGATACCTGTTGCCGCATTTGATCCTTATGGTGCTCCGTGGGCTTTTGACAGGTGAGGAGCTGAAAGTAACAGAGGTAAATCAACTTGCCTGAAGTAACTCAGCCAGTAAGTGACAGAGTCTGTGTTCTTAACCACTTTAGTAGGACATCTGAAGCTAGCAAGATCTAAGTGAACAGATCCAGAGGAAGGGAGTTCCAGTGGAGGAGCCAGCATGGGCCATGTGGGTTTGGATTGAGATTGTGTTCCATTTGTTGGTTTCCAGGCCTGTGAAGAGCGACAGTCGCTGAGGGCCAGGGCTGGCGGTGGTGAGTGGTGGTCTCCCAGGCTGACCATGGTCCTCAGCGACATCAGCACTTTTGTCCTCACTGTTGTCAGGGAGTAGTGGGGGCTCCTGCCAAAAGGCTGTGGGAGCCACATTCTCAACAACTTTTCCATTTCTTTATGGCACGAACTGTGCTATGCTTTAATCTGAAATGATACTTAAAGCAGTAAAGTGGAAGTTTTTTTTTTTAACACTAAAGACTATAGTAGAAGATGTGGAAGACTATATAGAGATTTGGAAAGTACTATAAATGTCAAGAATTTTTAGTACTGTAGTTAAGCAACACTTTGAGAAGAGTGTTGAAAACTGGGGCTGAATTCTAAAAAGCAGCCAAAATAATGAAGAGCTTCAATGTAATGATTTAGAAGGAATAATGAGAGTGTTTGGGTAGGGGGCAGAAAAAGGCATATATATGACAAATATATGAGGGCTGGAGATGTTTAGGAATTAAATTGTTGGGGAAGTTGAACCATTTTAATTAGTAAAACTGATTTGGTATGAAAATGCAAATCACTTGAATATGTTAGAGCTTGGGCTCCTATCCACTTAGACCTTAGATTGAAACTGAGATGGAAACTCCTGGAAACCCTTCTTAAATGTTAGCTTCCAAGCCATTCATTGCCACTAGGTCCCAGTAGCTGTAGGAAGTTCTGAGTCTGGTCTTTCCAGCACCCCAATGTCCTCTCCATTATTCTGGTGATGAGAAGAAATCTTCCACCCTCCTTCTGTAGGGAAGACTGGAGTCCCACGGCGGGTAGGCATCAGGAAGCCCTCAAGGCCAGAGCAGCAGCTTCAGAGTGCACAGACCTCAGTGTCAGAGCTGCATTGTGTGACCTGGGCTGGCCTTATGGAGATGGCATAATCAGCTTGGCACAGGGAGTCCAGCAGAGCAGGCCGGCCACATAGTGGCCCTAAAGAAACATCCCAAGGATCCAAGTCTTCACCCAGTTGATGGAGTGGCAGGAGACACCTTTTTCATTTCTGCCCCTTTTCCACAGTCTGGGCACAGAAGTGAATGTCTCTCATTTTTCAGGTGGGTATCACTATGTTACCCAGACTGGGCTCCAATGACTGCTCCCTCCGGAGTGTCCTTGGTAGCTGGGACAAGAGGTACACACTACTATGCCCAGCTGGGAGGCTTCTTGATGAACCTGTGTTCTTGCCATAATTTCGGCACAAGGATGCTTACATTTTGGGTAAATCTCACATCACATGCTGTATGCTGGGTACCTGCTGGGCAGATATGTGTGTCACAGGTACGTAAAGGCTATGTCTTCAAGATTTAGTCAGTTAGGGAAACTGCTGCCATGACTGAGCCCTGCACGAGCTCTCCTTGCCTCTGAACACACACTTCACTTAGAAGGTGGACAGGTCGAGGAGGGTTCCCATGACAATCTTCTTTCTGGTTTCAGATCCCATTCAGGAGGCTTCCAAGACTGGAAGTAGCAGGAACCTTTTGGATGGTCCCCCACGAGTGCTTCAGCCCTTCCTGACCAGCAGAGCCAGGGTGGCCGGGCCACCTCCAAACCTGCCCCTGCCGGTGAGGAACACCATGCTGGCTGCCGCTCTCTTCCCCGAGTTCCTGAAGGAGCTGGCTGCCCTGGCGCAGGAACACTCCATTCTGTGCTACAAGATCCTGGGGGACTTTGAGGACTCCTGTTGCTAGTGTTTCAAAAAATTGTCTTCATAGACTCTTGTTTTATAAGGTTGTAGTATCTTGACTGAATGTTAAATGCAAAGCTGCTTGTCAAATTCTACTTTGATGTTTCCTGACAATACTTGATTTACGGGGAGGAGATTTCTGTGGCCCTCCTCTTCCCAGCCAGGTCTTCCTTCTGTGCATTATATAGAATGTGAGTCTCGTAAGCTGATTGCTTCCCTAGGCAGATGGTCTTTGCTTGGTTTTCCCACCTCACAGTTTCAGTTGTTATCTTCGCATCCCTTTGCAGTACTGGGCCTGCCGCTCAGATCATACCAAGCAGACGCTGAGTTCCACGGATTCCTGGCTGTGGTCTGTGGCCAGGCGGCTGGCTTTCAGCAGCACACGAAGGCTCCCCAGCATCTGCACCGTGCTCGGCTCCCTTCTGCATTTTGGCTTTCATTTTATAAAAGGGAAGAATTGAGACAGAGCTGTTCTTGCCTCCGTCACACAAGTGCACATCCTCTGACCCTCTGAATCTTCCTGCCAGGACTTGGTTCTCTGCCCACCCATTGCCTTACGGTATGGAAAGCCCCCAGGCCAGTCTCTGCCTGGGCTGTCACATGCAGTAGGAGAGGACTCAGAGCACAGGGAATTATTTCTTGTTGCTTGAGAGCTAGCTTTAATCCCCGCAACACTGCCTAAACACTGAAGGTAGCCTTATTTTAGTAAGATTTGCACCAAGCAAAGTGTACCTATGCAAACTGTTACTTCAGTTTTTAGGAGTTTGATCATATGGAGAAAGGGTGCTGTTGTATACTTATGCAAGGAAACAGCCATCATTATTTTTTAAAAGTTTTTAGGAAACATTAACTTGTGGAGTGCTTCCACAGTGGGTTTTTTGAGGGGGAAAGACTGTAGTGGGGGCAAAAGATAAAAGTCAGCTAAATGCAGCCTGTAAAAACCCTGGTCATTATTTTGAATTGTTTTCTTTTGCTAACATGTTGCACTTTATAGAGAAATAGGAACTGTGCAGCCCACTTTGGGAGCTGGGACATAAACGCATCCAGGTCACTGCAGCCCTGCAAAGCCAAGTGTCCGCTGGTGGCCGCTCCACAGACATGCTGCCTTCTGAGTGCAGCTTCATTGAGGACCCACAAGTTATTAGCACCTCTTACTGCTCTTCAGCCTGCTCCAAGAGGCACGATGGTACCCAGAGCCATGGCCACCCGAAGCTGCCACCAACAGGGAGATGCACAAGTAATGGTGGGTTAAAGTGAGACCGTAAACAGCTGATGTTTATGGATATCACATTGGACTCTCATCGGTTCCGAGCCCAGGTCTGTGGGGGAGAAGCAAGGCACAAGGACGAGCCTGTTTGGAGGGACACTGGAAGGCTGGGCTCCTTCTGGTCCCATTGTAGACATCTCTGCCAGGCCCGAGGGCAGCTGCAGGCCTGGTAGTTATGCCCAGGGGCACCGTGTCTTAGTCAGGCCCCTGGTACAGGAGAGAGAGGAGGAAAGGCCATCCTTTGTGCTTTGGGGGTTGTGAAGCAGCTGTGTACTGAGAGATGGAGAGCCAGCTTGGGCCAGGAGAGCTGTCGGGAGCCACCTTGGCATTGTTTCATAGCCTAGGCAGGAAACCAAGTTACCTGTTTGTGGCACACTTTTGACTTCACATGTGCCTGTCATAAAAAAGGGTTTGCCCAGCTGAGGTGCCACAGCCAGAACATCTGAGGCACAACTAACTGGTCTGCTTGTGGCTTCCTGATGCCTCCTTGTATTTGCACAGCCCCCACATCTCCAGCAGGAAAAGAAGGTAGCTTCAGGTAGACAAAGAGGAACAGTTAAACTGTACTGTATTATGCTCGAACTTTGTCTTGCACCAATACATGTCTGGTGGTTTGGACTTCCCAGGTCACAACATAGTGTTCTTTAGTTGCATTATCTAGTAGCAGCTGGTAGTGCATTGTAAGTCTGTTTCTTTACTGTAGGGCCCCATGGCCCCATGTGGACAGTGCCCTTAGGACAGGGATTGACTTGGTGCCTCCTATTTTTTTTTTCAGTCAGTACTGAAGCACAGTTCCTTTAAGAGGACAGATACTTGGAGTGGGAGTGAAAGGCCGAAACCTTTGACGTCTGTGGTGGGATACTAGTGGCCCACTCACAGGACTGCTCTCTTCTCACGTCCTGAGTTGGAAACTGGCTCATGTTTCTGCAGCTAACACAGTTCTCTGCCAGGGGGCTGTGGCCGGAGTAAAATGAAGTCAGAAAAGTGACCTGGAAATATAGTGCAGGGCATCAGAAAGGGCTGTGTGGTTGAGCACAGTTGCCCAGAATGGCTTACCTGGGGAAGACAGAGACCAGTGCTATAAACAGGACAGGAACAGACCCTGAAGGGCTTGGAGGAGGAACGCTGTCTTAGGCAGACATGAAGATGCCAGCCAGGTGGGTGGTGACGGGAGCTCCTTAGGGGGACAAGATCACCCGAACCAAGTAGAGTGCTCCAGTCCTCAAGTAAGCAGGCAAGACCCTTGGAGGTATCTTCTTTTTATTTGTATTTCTTTTGGGAAGAAATTTTAAAGAGCTTTGATATGCCTAAGAGCACAGCCCAAGAGTGCATGCAGCTCTTCTCCCTGTGAGTAGCCCATGTCCACTGCCTGGTCCTCACTAGAGACCCAGGCAACATAGCACCTCTGCTGCAGTCCGGGCTGGCATCACTGTGTTTCCCGTGTCCCCGGAGGGAAAGTGTGTGGGGAGTTCCTGGAACATGCCAGGCATCCCAACATTAACCTCAGTTCATAATTCAGGGACTGACGTAGTGGTCCTGACTGAATTTTCTGGTTCAAAATATATGAGAGCACTGGCATATTTAAAATTGATTTTTTGAAAATGTCCATGTGAATGTTTGCAAAACCTTAAACAGAAATTCTACCTTAGGTCCAGCCTAAAACACAATTTCATGGGAGTAAATTACAATTTCCCAGCCATTAAGTGGAGATGCTGGAATAGCTAGCTACTCAGAGGTGTGATTTTCTTATTGATAGACTTCCTTTCCCTAGTATTTAGGGGCACTGTGAAATTGTGCCTGTTTGGTCGTGCATTATTTTAGAACCTCCCCTGACACGCTCAGGTTGGACTTGAGGCCTCGGCCGTGTCGAGAGGATGCAGTCAGCACTTTCCAGGACTTTATAGTATCCTTTCCTTAGCAGCAGTTTTGACTGAGGTCAGATATGGTTGTTGGTTTTCAGTGCAGGAGGAGTTCACGGGGCCAGGATGTTGTCAGGAAAGTGTCGTCTTATGCACGTAATCTAGAGGTCCTGTCTGATGTGGGAGCCAGTGTGGTCAGATTGGAAACTTGCAGTCTCTGCAGTGTCAGGTGGACCGACCACCAGATCTGTGTAGTTTCGGGTGGCGGATGGTCTGCTCACTCTGGGTCGGCACTCAGCTCATGTCATTCAGCAGGTGGAATGTGTCACGCTTGTGACGTTAATTAAATACCTCCCTGCGCCCTAGTTGCCATTTAAGGGCAGTTCAGTTTGACTGCTAAGTATCAGCTCTGTATCTACAGAAATGTCTGTTATGCTCGCCACTTTTATGAAGTACTTTATTGCAGGACAGCTGTTACTGCATTGCTACTCAAGTCCCTGGCAGGGTCAGCGTGATGTGTGGGTGCTGCAGACCTGGGCCAGTTGGGCAGTTAGCTTTGCCCTGAACAGTGGTCCTGTGGTAGCTGAGCCCACATCAGCTTTAAGTCACTTAGGCCCCTTCTGTGTTCTGTAACTGGACAGCTTAGAACATGTCATGCCAGTTTATATTCCACCCCAGCCACATGAGCGAAGTTTTAAGAGGATCGCGTCGACTTTTTTTCCTTTTTTTTGAATGACCACCATAAACCTAACGCTTCAGAAAAAACTCTTGGAAGGCTAAGAATGGGTTTTGGTATAATTTTGCCCAGTAAATCCTCTCTACATTCAGGCATTTACTAGGCCATTATGTTTTGGAGGACAGATTATCCTGGCAGTTCATTAACTGAGTGAACAGGGCTTTACCAGGAAGCTTTCAGAGAGGTTCTTTAGCGAAAAGGATGACTGGGGTTAGGTTGGGCCTCACTCTCAAACCCCCAAACTGATGATTTTAGCAGGGTGACCTTCCCCGTCCCATTAGGTCACTGTGGATTTTGCTTCCTGGTGTGAGGGATGTGGGTGGCTCTCACAGATGAGAGGATGGACAGCAGAGGTGTCAGCGCAGTCTGTGGTGATTGCAGGCATCTTTTGGGGAGTCTGGGTTTACTGTCATTTCAGAACTGATAAAGGTGCAGAAGCTCTTGGGCCAGACAACACATTTCAGGGAGCTGAGGCTGACATTTTATTGGGACAAACATACAGAGCCCCTGTAACTAGGCCCCCTTTTGCCCTGAAGGTGTTTGAAGGGAGGGAATATAGTGATGACCTTAAATGCTCAGCTGAGTGACTACTAGGGGACTCACATGCCTTCCACCTCATGGCCCAGGGATGCATTTGGCTAAAACCTGCTGAGGAAGCCTGCTGGCCACTTCCAGGTTACTTTGAGGAATGGGTAAATAACATGACCTCTCACAGAGGGCTAGCACCCCCCTTCCCCATAGTCAGTGTGTGGAGTCTCTGAAATGATGCGGCTAATCTCAGTTGAATGAAAAAGTCAATAAAAACGTGGGTCATAGTCACAAGTTATATACCAAATTAAGCTGAAGGAGAGTCTAACATTTCATGGACCCCTTGCAGATTAGCAGTAACTACTGAAAAATAAGGAGAGAGAACTCAGCCGAAACTTCCTTGTCTTGGTGTAATAACCCAAGTATTTTTCCATCTGTATTTGAGAGGCACAGAGGTTCACTTTGATGCCTAAGCCTGAACAGATGCAGAAAGCTACTTTCTAGAGCCAGTGACCCAAAATTTACAAAGGGCCCCCATAGAAGACTATTTCATAAATCAGACAAGCTTTTCTTGAATTCTTTTTGCTAAGCAGCCTGCCGAGGGCTGCGGTGACATCTTACCTTCCCCCAGAACCATCCAGTCGCCTTACCCAACAGAACACAGGGTTTGGCTTCACAGAGCTGCCAGGCTGGCGGGGGAGGGTTTTCCAGCAACCCCTCCCTCGGTGTCTTGGCATTATACACCCACCTACCCACTGATGTGTGTGTACAAGTATGTAGGCATAGTGATGTGCGTACACACAGGTGTGTGTGCAGGTGTGACTCCGTGACAGATGGCAGTGGCGTGAGTGTGGCACCAACTCATACATTTTATAAGATTGTCCCTAAATGGCAAAACAGAACCAGGCTAAATTCATGCTCCTGCAAGAATGAAGTTGTATTTTACCGAGGTGCGGGTGAATTTCTTAGGGTGTTATGTAAATATCTTTCAAATACCTTATCAGGTTCTAATCAGAGCTGTGCTACCAATTTTTCTCTCATAGCACTGATTTCAACACACAAAGTCTGGGTTTCAGGATTTCAGAAGTAACAGAAGGCAGCTGTCAGAGCTAGACAGGAAGTAGTCTTTCAAAGATCAAGTGTTTTTTAATGGCATTTTTCTGTGGGAGTAACTGGTCCATATGCAGTTTTCACTTGACATAATAGTTTGGGGAAACTGTCTTGATCTGAGTGCACCTCCACTTAAGAAAGCCCTAGGTTTGAAATGGTCTGGAAAGATCCTTCAGTGCTTTCTATAAACTTTTGGGGAAAACGATTTACAAAAGAAAACTGAACTTTTATTTTTTCTTACAAAATAAAGGTCCTGCCAGATTTGAATCTTTGCCCTTTATGTTTAACAGATTTGCAGGGAAAGAGGGGACTCTACCATTTTTGTTTCTTGTAGAGAGGGTTGGTGCACATAACATTTTTTTTGGTACTGAGGATCGATCTCAGGACCTTGTGCTTGTGAGGCAGGTGGCACCACTGAGCTAAATCCCCGGCCTTAGTGCACATTACTTTGAGACCCTGTAGTGTTCAGTATTACAAAATGTGGGTCACATGGCTTCTTGAGTTTTAAAAAAAAATTTTAAATCCCATCCTCATGGTTCTCTGAAATCAACTACCCAACCTGTTTCCTCTCTACACCAGCTTTCGTGGCTGGGCAAATGGGGTACTTTTGCCATCGCTCTTACTCAGGGAAGCTCTGAGCACTGTCTCTAAGATGGATGATGGAAGGTACAGTACTTCGGATCATCGTGCCCCAGAAAAATCCTTTTTCCTGTTCATGGTATGTTAGGAGTGAGTTTTAAAAATCAGGGCCTCTGAAGACATGTTCCCCATATCGGTTTGACAGGTACTTTTAAAAACAGCACTTGCAGCCACGAGTGACAGACATCTGTAATCCCAGCACTGAGGGAGGACGATCACAAGCTCAAGTCCCACCAGGGCCACTTTTAGTGAGACCTGCCTCAAAATTTAGAAAGAGTGGAGGTAGCCCCTGGTGTTTATTCCTACTACGGGGTGGGGCTGGTGAGGGTGGCAACCCAGCATTTACAGAACTGGTTTTTAACCAATTTATAATGCCAAAGGTTACAATTTTTTGAATTTCTGCATGAAATTCATATGTGTTACCTAGAAAAAAAATCAAGGAATGAGAATTTGAAGAGAAACATTTTTATGTTCCATCATTATGTGCCGTTCCAAAAATGGAACACTAGACATAAAAGGATTAAAGGAGGCATTGTGAATCTGAGGTACTAGACATGTAATGAACAAAGGGGCCGTGTGTTCGAGAAAATGTTACTGTCACACAAAAAGGGGCAGAGGCAACGAGGCCTTCATCACGACACTGTCAGCTGCACTTCAGTCATTGCTAAAGGTCAAGATTTTATTAGTTTAGAGTCTTATTCTCTGCAAGCAAAACAAATGAATGTTATAGCTTTTTCTCTTTATCTTTTTTGGCCTGATGGTGTGGGGGTGTCAATCTTACAGTCTTTGAAGTATAAGTTAATTTTTATGTGATATTTCAGTATATGTTTTATTCATTAAATTTATCTGAAAACTTCTGTTGTCTTTAAAAAGTTCACTGAATCTCCAGCCTATGCTTTCAGGGTCCCCAGGAAGTTGAGGGCAATGTTAACCTTTGCTCAGTAGATGGGTAGCTACCTCCCCACCCTGTCGCCCTAAACAAATGTGTTTACATGGCACCAATCTGCTTTGTTTCCATCTTTGTTAACCTACTTTTAGGTCTGCATATATTGTATTCACATTCCATTCTGTCTTGATCACCACTGATCACCAGCGCTTGGGAACGCCAGGCCTTAGGAGGCACCCACAGGTATCCAGGGAAGGAACTGCACAGTGAGTGCTTGCAGAGTGGCCACAGTATCTGAAATGTGTTTTATTCAGTGGAGAACTACCCCACCGAATGTGCTCTTGCCTAAGCACTGCTGCAGCCACCCAGAGGGTTTCGATGTTACTGAAGCAAAGGGCTGTGGGGGCTGCTGGTTTCCCTGGAGGCTGCATCCCAACGCATAGGGTCTCAGAGGACCAGGACACGTGAAATGTAACTAAGACAGTGTGGTCGGGCCAGGGCCTGGGACACCAGCTTGCAGAGCACACAGGCGTCAGGCGTCATGGGCCCCTGTCCTGGCTTGGCAGGAGGAGCCTGCACACCTCATGACGACAGCTTCTCCAGCAGGGCCTTTATCACAGCTGGGTCTGCTCGGTTTAGGGCCGCCTTCCGGACCAACCCGATCAGTTTATTTATAGCTCTGGGGTTTCCCTTCTTCATATCCATTACCTATGAAGAGAAGAAAAATACAGACCCTCTTAACTAAAAATCCTCAGGTAAGGCTTAATTTTACTGCAAATTGCATCAGTTTGTCTTCCCTTAATATTGGATGTAAAGTGGCGAAGAGAAGGGGGATTAGCTAATGAGGAGGTTTCAGGCTCCTGGGAAGCCAGTTCCAGCTCTGCCTTCTAACTCATGTGAGCACAGAGGCCCAGGATGTAAGCGGTGACTGTGACAGCTGAAGCAGCAGGTGCGTGGGCACCAGGATACCCCTCTGAGGCCCCACACTGACCTGAGGACTAGGAGTCTGTATGTGGGGCTGCCTCAGATTCTCCAGTGACATTCACAGGCGCTGCTCCTCCCAGGAGGATGCACTGATTAGAAAACACCCTCCAAAGTGCTAACTCTACCGGAGCATTTGTGCGCTGCTGGGGGTGGGGCTGACGAGGCAGGAGGTGCTGGGTTCCTATCAGAGAACCACCGGCTGGCGGCTGGCAGCTGGCAGGGCCACCCGCACCGGCCTCCACTCAGCTGCAGTCAGTGACGTGCATGCGGGCGCCTGACTCCAGCGCCACAGGACCGGCCTGCAACTAAGTGTGTCCTTATCAGTCACTGCAGATGAGGTGGGTAGATGCAGAGTGCAGTGCGGACGCCCCGTGCAGGCTTATTTCCCTTATCAAGAGCTGGGTAAAGAGCTCTTAGTGTCCCTGGCAAGCTGATGAGCGGGTATTATTCTGAAAGAGATGCTAGCAAATTTTCCCCGCTGAAAACCCTCTCTAGACAATATGATTAAACTTGGGGAGGGAGGGCTGCCACGCGTAACCTTTCTATCTTGTACCACACTAAGATCACAGCTTCTGTCATGCTCCTCTCAGAGGATTTTCTCCATCACAAATAATGTTTTCTGCCTTTTTTCCCACCTCTGGAAGGCGAGGAGCTGAAGCATGTCCCTGTCTCCTTCCCCTTGCTGCCAGGCCGGGTGGCCACCACTGCAAGGACTTCTGGAGAAGCAGAGCTGGTCACGTGGCCTGGGAGCCGGAGCCCTGGAGGTGTCGAGTTTGACAGCCTTCAAACTACCTCCGGGTGAGTAAGTGCCAGGGTGGAATTTTCCTTATAGGAAAGAAGTTGTGTTTTTCCAATATCCACCTCATTTCATCTCTTTGGACCTTAACTAAAGTGCTGACACAGATAATTAAGCAATTATTGACGAAACTGGGCCAGCCCTTAGGAGGAAGAGCCTTGGGCTGCAGAGGGAACTTGAGCAGGCATCTGGCTGTGTCCCCAGGCTGCCCCCTCCCCACCCTGCCTGCCACAGTCACCGCTTGAGGGTGTTCCTCCATCGTGGACCGGCAGAGCTGTTCCAGGGCCTCCTGGTCCTGCATCAGTCCCAGCTGCTTCTCTGAAACAATCTGCACTGCGGTCTTCCCCTTACCCTTCCACAGTTCCTCGAACACCTGCAACCAGAGGAGGAAGAAGGGGAAGGATGTGAAGAGTCAGCACTCCTGCCACCTCCATGCACTGTGCAGCGATGCACAGAGCCAGGGCAGGAAGCACACATTCAAACGCGGCCCAGCTGTGAGGCCTGGCCACAGGGAAAGGGCACTGGGCTGCCTGGCCCAGCCCGGCTGTTCCTGGTCTTCCTGACAGGGCTGGGGACACTGCCACCCTTGGTGAAACAGAGTAAACTCAAGTCTCTTCCTGAGGCAGAGCTTCTTTCTGCAGAGGCTGGGAGGCCCTGGGCCAGCCGGGTAGCCCTGGTGCCCAGGGAGGTGACAAGTCCTCCCCACTTGCCAAGTCAAGCCGGGCAGCTCCTCCCCACGCAGGGCTGTGGGCGGTGAGGAGGTCACGATCGCTCACAGGACTCCTGCTGCCACCAGTCACAGGGCTGGTGATGGCTTTGTGTCCCCTGAACTAATTAATGGAGGTGACGGTTCAAGGACAGGCCACTCAGGGTACAGGAAGTAACCACTGAACTTAAATCCAGAAACTCGGCCTGCTGGGAAGCAGGATTTTAGAGGAAGCAGAAAGGAGCCCCACAGGGAAGACAATATGGAGAGTAATGAAAATATACATCACAGTCCATGGGAACCCCTGGCCTCCTACATTTATTCCTACAGTGAAGCTGGACCCAGACCTGACCAGGATAATTTATGGGTAATGGTCTATTTTTCTACTTCAAAAATGCTGATGACAGCAACCAGTCCCCTAATTGATCAAAGCTGGGGAAAGGAAAGCACCTTTAGGGAAGCCATTTCCTAGGGTGGTGGTCTCCCTCATTCCTCTTGTTTTTCTAGTGTGAGCGGGCTGGGGGCTGCCGGGCTCCTTGGTGGCCGGAAGCTGCTTCCTCTTAGCCCATGGTCACCCCTGCACACTGAAAACTCTGTCACCATGCTGGCTCAGGCCAGGCCTGTGGGAGCCACTGTACCTGTAGAAAAAGCTCTGCAGCAATCAGCCCACCCAGCAAGGCCAGTGGAGGGACTGATGCTCTGGGTCTTAGCAGGGCTTGAGTCTTCCCAGACTGAGTCAAACCACATATTTACCACGGCCTTTAGAGACCTTGTGCCTCTGTTCAGCACCTCCGATGGTGCCATGTAGCCACAAAAGTGTCTGTCCACGGGGTCCCTCTGTAACTTCTCACACCGTGCCTTTAAGGCCACCACCACCCAGCCCTGGCTGCTCAGATCTAGCTTGGCCAGGAGGAGGGTACCGAGTGGTGCAAAGGTGAATTGAAACATTAACCAGAGCAATCAGACAAAAGAAATAAATGAATATAGACAGGAAAGGAAGAAGTCAAATTATTACGTAGTGGTGACATGACCCTCTACATAGAAGACCCCAAAAACTCCACTGAAAGGCTCCTAGAACTAATAAACTCAGTAGTACAGTAGGTACAAAATCAACACTCAAAAACCAATAAATAGCATTTCTGTACACCAATAACAAACACAGATTAGGGAAACAATACCTTTTATAATAGCATCAAACAAAACAAAATACTTAGGAATTAACCTAAACAAGGAAGTGAAAGACCTCTGGAATGAAAACTACAGTACTCTGAAAAAGGAGATCAAAGAAGGTATCAGAAAATAGAAAGATATCCCCATTCCTGGATAGGCAGAACCAATATTGTCAAAATGGCCATACTTTCAAAACGGTTATACAGGTTTAATGTAATCCCAATAAAAATACCACAGCATTTTCTTCATAGATTTAGAGAAAATAATCCTAAAATTCATATGGAATCAGAAGAGACCTAGAATACCAAAAGCAATTCTGGACAAGGGAAAGACAGGAGGCATCACAATCCTTTGTAAATAATATAAAGCTACAGTGATTAAAAACAGCATGGCATTGGCAAAAAAAAACCCCTCCAAAACCAACAACAAAACAGACTTGTGGATATAAATGGAACAGAATAGAGGATGCAGAAACAATTCCACGCACACTCAATTACCTTTTCTTTGACAAAGGGGCCAAACACCTTTGCTGGAGGAAAGAGCCTCTTTAACAAATGATGCTGAGAAAACTGGCTTTCCACATTCTGAAGATGGAACCTAGATCCATGTCTCTCACCATGCACCAAACTAAAATCAAAATGAATTGAAAAAATATAAAATAGAAATGCTTAATCTGTTGGAAGATAGAATAGGTAAAATTCATGAAGACATAAGCGTAGGCAAAGACTTTCAGAACAAAATCCCAGTTGCACAAGAAATATTAGAATAAACAAATGGGATAACATTAAAAAGCTTCTGAACAGCAAAGGAGACCACTGACAGAGAGAAGAGACAACCTACAGAATGGGGAAAACAATTTGCCAGCTATTCTTCGGATAGAAGACTTAATATTTAGAATATATAAAGAACTAAAAAATAATTAGACCTTTCAAATTTAAGGACCCAATCCAAAAATGGGCATCTGAAATGAAGAGAAACTTCTCAGATGAAGTACAGATGGCTAATAAATACATGAAAAAAATGTTCAACATTGCTGGCCATTAGAGAAATTGCAAATTAACACTGAGGGACTTAGGGAAAGATGGTGGAGCAGTAAACAGCAGCAAACCAGCCACTCGGAGATTAGGAATCCAGACACTGGCATATAACAACTTGGGGAAGAAATAGGGAAGGGAGGTGGATTCCCAGGACCCAGGACGGATCTGAAAAGAGAACTGGAGCCCACAGGGAAAGTGAAGAGACAGACCAGACAGACCTCAACACAGAAAAAGGAGGTGGGGCACTGCCCCTTCTCCCTGACTACCAGCTCACTGCATGAGAGAGGCAGCTCGAATCTACATAGACAGAGTGAAGGCAGGTGACTCCAGAGCCTCCGTGGAGAAACGCACCAGTGGAACAGAGTAGTGGATGCCACAAACTACAGGAGCTGGTGAGTGACTCCAGTCCAACTCTCCCCTGGAGAGACTGCTTGGCCAGATGCCATTTTAGGGAGGGCCTAACTGAGCCTGGGACTCACAGCAGCTGTGAGTTGGCTTCATCTCAGTGCTCCTAGTAATTGAATGAGGCACAAACATGGAAGACATCCAGGGTCTGGGAGCTGAGGTCAGGCTGGCAAGAGACTCTCAAGAGTGTTGTAGGCTGAATAACTCAAGACTCCAACCCCACAACCAGAGGCCAGGATCAGCCTGAACTCCTATGGAGTTAAAAGCACCAGAATCGGCACCCCACTCTAATGCTACTGCAGGCTTGTTAGGATCATCTATCACGGATCTGGGCTCTGTCTGCCTCTGTCTACCAGTGACGGCAGAGATATGCCACGAGTTGGACATTGCCACAAAACTGTAGGCTCTAGAAGATAAACACAGGCTTGAAGTCACAGAGCTATCTCTCTTTTTCTTCTTTTTCAATTTGACTTTTTCATGAGTGTGAACATTGTTTTTAGTTTTTGTTTTGTTCTTGTTTTTGATTTTTCCTTTCTTTCTTTCCCTTCTCATCCTCATCAGTTTTCTGAAAGTTTGGGTAATCTTCTTTTGTCTTTTAGCCTTACTTCTAATCTCTTTCTCTTATTTTCCCCTCTTATCTCTTTTAAATATTCTCTCCTGAGGGTAAAATTGCTATATTAAGGGGATATTTACTGTATATAATTTTCTGACTTGTTTTAGATTTTGTTATATAAATATAAATCTTGTACCTATGATTGAAGGTGGCAAATTAACAATTACCATAGTTTTAAATTTTCTACATTGTGCTTGATGCTATTTTTATGACTGATTATACTACTTTAGCCAAGGGTGACCTAGTTGTTGTGATCAGTTGTTCTTCCTTTATGCCAATACCAAGATAGTCTGGGGGTCATAATCAATACCATAGTCCAGTACCAAAGAACTGGGTGCTAGGCCAAATAGGTAGCAACTTCTCATCCTTAATGAATTTAAGAGTTAGGATCTTGGAACAGACTGAAAAGCCAAAACCCAACTATACCTCAAAGACATCTCTGAAAAGTACTTATTTCCTAAGGTCTCAATACTAGCAATAAAGTTACCTACCATAAGCAATGTACAAGCATCAATGCAGAAAACAAATTTTAAAAAATAGAAGATGAGAAGACACAGAACCAAGATGCAACCCCAGACTTCCAGCTTGCCCAAGACAAATCCAGGGTGCCTTAAGGTGGAAGAAATAAAAGCCTACCCAGCTGAACTTTCTGAAATGGTAACAGTGGAAGTAACAATGCAGATGAATGAGGTACTAGAAAAAGCCAAATCAGAAATAATTTCTCAGATAACTAAAGATGATGACCATAATGAAGGATATGGTTAGTGAATCTAGAGTAGACACAGATAAAAAAAAGATAGAAGTGCTTAGGAAAGTGAGGGAAACCATGAATGCCCAACATAGGAAAGAACTGGATTCCATGAAACAGAGTCAAACAATTATCCAGGAGATTAAAAAAATTAGGATATTAATTATCCAGGAGATTAAAAAGTCTATCAAAAGTATACACAGCAGAATCAACCAATGTGAGGACAGACTATCAGACCTAGAAGGCAGGTTTGCAGTTAGCAATCATCAAATGAAAGACTTCTTAGGGACAATTAGTGAGGGACTATGAAAAATCAATCCAACAGCTGCTAGATGATGCAAATAAGAATAACATAAGATTGGCTGGAATCCATAAAAAATTGGAGGACATGAGAAATAAGGATAGGAAAGGAAGAAGTTAAATTATCAGTATTTGCAGATGACGTGATATTCTATAGAGAAGACCCCCAAAACACCATCAAAGGACTGCGAGATTTAATAACCAACTTTAATAGTGCAGCAGGATACAAAGTCAATACTTAAATCAACAGCATTCCTGTATACAAATAAACTCAGAAACTAGGGAAACATCACTTTTCATAATAGCATCAGGAAAAACGAAATACTTAAGAATCAACCTAACAAGGGAAATGAAAGACCTTTACATTGAACACTACAGTACTCTGAAAAAGGAG